AAAAAAAAAAAACGTTACAAAGTAACGATTAAATATTATTCTAGCAATTGCCGAAATGATCTAAAAAAAATTTTTCAACTTTTAGAAAAATCGCAATTGTTGTTTCGCGCACATTGACAATCAATATTAACCACATTAAGTATAAAGAAAAAGAAGGAAAAAGAAATAGAAATGCGTAGAAATAGAATAACTTAAATGCGAATAATCTAGCGTGATAATGTTATGATAACGAACTGTTTTACGGACCGTTACACCCTTGATGCATATTGTGCGCAACGTGATAAATCCGCAATAAACCTCAATTTCATGAGTGAACTAAAATACAACGCAAATATAAAAAGTCGTAAATTCTCGCGCTTTAAAGTAAGCAGAGCATAGCTTATGTTAGTTGTGCAGTAATTAAAACCACCGCAATTCCGTATATTTCTATATGAATTTCGATACACGCGTTAGTATCGCAGATTTGACTGTACGCAACTAATTCTAGTCGATGACGATCGAGAGCCGCCTTGCGGAGGCTCGCGAACTTGAATGGAGGTTTGTCGATCGTCCGTCCGATGCGATCGAGTCGTCCCGAAGAACGGAAGAATGATTTCGAATCGGCTGTAGTTATACCTCAGCCTCTGCTTACGTATATACAGTGTCGGATATGCGAGGGGAAGTGGAACAGAAGAGAAAGGCGCAACGAAGATGAACTAGATTTGGACAGTCATCTCTGTCTTCTTTCCTTCCACGACATTCGTCGTTCTCGTTGTCTCTTTTGCCTCTTTCTCGGAGTTTATCCACACCCTGCCCTTCCCCATTCGCATTTCTCACATTCTCCGATACGTAAGAGCCTGTCTCGATGTTGGTCATCTTGCGTACATCAAGAAAGAGAGAGAGAGAAAGAGAAGGAAAAAAGAGAACGACACGGAATCTCGGGGACTTGCAGGTACAATGTGTACCTGTCGCGGAATAAGATCGACAATAATCGCTGCCTCGGTCTATGGACAATCAGAGCCGTGCAAAAAATTTCATCGGCTACTTCTCGCATGAAGTGTTTCGCGGAAACACGCGTGTATTATTTGCTGATTTACTTGACCACGAGACGCGCCTTTTGCGTATATGATCGCGATTCGAAATCGGCACGTTCTCTTCCGCTCCACTAAAGCGCGGAAGGAGAGAAAGGAAAGAGAGCCGGAGCCGGAGCCGGAGCTGGTATCTCCGCGAGAGAAGAGTATCGCGGGTATTGGATGATCCGGGAGCGCGGTGATCTAGAATTGATGTTCAAGATGTTGCCCAGACGCGAATTACACCGGCGAAGGTTGGCGGCGAGGTGGAGGAAGGCGTCTTCATCTTTCGCCGATCCGATGGAACCCGGGCAAGCCTCTCGCAATCCGACCGCGCCGTAACGCTCTGAAACGCGTCGGAAACAAGAATTAAACGAATCGAAGAGACCGGCGTCTGGGTCTAGGAACGAAAAATTACCGGCTTAATGCACAGCAAGAGCAGCGAGTGGCAGCCATCGTGCTGCAATGCTCTCCTTGCTTTTTTCTTAGTACAATCACCGACCGTCACGTAGATCTATATAAATGGGAATTGCAAGCACTTACGCCGCAGCATTCGGACCTCCGCCGTAGGTTCCGCAGCTTCACAGTTTTCCACACGGGAGTTTTTCTTGCAGCTCTTGCACGCGCGGAGAGACGGTTGTTGTTTAACGAACGCGCATTAGGAAGCTGTTTGTCGACGGAGCCGTCCGAATTTTTTTTACGTACGTGACGTTCGTTTTTCTAACGGAGCGATGTTATGGATAGGCGGTATACCCGGGATCGGTCGTCGGCGTCTGATCGTCTGCGTCGCGTTGGCGGTCGCGCTATCGATCGTCGACACCGTCGACGCCGTCACCGCGGACAACGCCAAGGACGCGTGGACGGGATTTTCGACGTCGTGCGTGGCTGAGGACTCGAAGAATATATCGGTTTCTTGTCACGGGGTGCGAATCGTCCGGAAGATCGTGCAACAACTACTGGAGACCACCAGCAAGGAAAGAAACATCGAACTGTTCGATGGCATCAGTCTAGTTGAGACGTCCGGAAGCGGATCCTCCCGGAAGGCTAGAGTGTTAAAGGGCTTCGGAGGACTCGGACCTGTCCTACAGTTTCTGGAAGGTAGAGAACTGAGAATCAAACTGCCGTCCCTGCTTCCACCGAATATCGAGTCTGTTCTAAAGGAGAGTTTGCCTTCCGAAGCTGAAGGTTGGTTAACATTACTGTTCTCATCGTAAATTAGAGATGGAAATTTAATAAATTAAGAAAACTTTTTTTAAATTTTTGCTAATATTTTTGTTTTACAGCGAGAGGAGGTGGAGGAGGCGGCTTTGGCGGCGGCGGCGGCGGCGGTGGTTTCGGCGGCGGCAAAGGTGGCGGCGGTGGCGGTGGCGGCAAAAAAGGCGGTGGCGGCGGATATATGATTATGGCTCTTATGATGGGTAAGCATTCGTGACTAAGAAATATTGCGTAAACAGATAACTAATTAGACCAGACAGTTATGTGAAAGTACAATATATAATCGTTACACATTATCTAATCTTACACGGAAAAAACGTTTTGCTATTATAAGACCAGCAAGAAAAGCTTTGCTGAGTTTACTGAATGTTTTGTTTTATCAACAAAACATCTTGTTGAAAAAACAAAAAAATTCAAGTGGCTTAGCAAATTTTTTTACTGGCCATAGTAATCTTCTCGCTATTCTAGCAAAAAAAAATATATAATATGTTTTCGACGTTCAATGTTGGGAACACAATATATAACGCGTGCATGAAAAAATATATATAAAAATATATAACAAATATATAAAATATATATATAAAATATATATATATAAAATATATATATAATTATATATATATTTTATATATATATATTTTATATATATATTTTATATATTTGTTATATATTTTTATATATATTTTTTCATGCACGCGTTATATATTGTGTTCCCAACATTGAACGTCGAAAACATATTATATATTTTTTTTTGCTAGAATAGCGAGAAGATTACTATGGCCAGTAAAAAAATTTGCTAAGCCACTTGAATTTTTTTGTTTTTTCAACAAGATGTTTTGTTGATAAAACAAAACATTCAGTAAACTCAGCAAAGCTTTTCTTGCTGGTCTTATAATAGCAAAACGTTTTTTCCGTGTAAGATTAGATAATGTGTAACGATTATATATTGTACTTTCACATAACTGTCTGGTCTAATTAGTTATCTGTTTACGCAATATTTCTTAGTCACGAATGCTTACCCATCATAAGAGCCATAATCATATATCCGCCGCCACCGCCTTTTTTGCCGCCACCGCCACCGCCGCCACCTTTGCCGCCGCCGAAACCACCGCCGCCGCCGCCGCCGCCAAAGCCGCCTCCTCCACCTCCTCTCGCTGTAAAACAAAAATATTAGCAAAAATTTAAAAAAAGTTTTCTTAATTTATTAAATTTCCATCTCTAATTTACGATGAGAACAGTAATGTTAACCAACCTTCAGCTTCGGAAGGCAAACTCTCCTTTAGAACAGACTCGATATTCGGTGGAAGCAGGGACGGCAGTTTGATTCTCAGTTCTCTACCTTCCAGAAACTGTAGGACAGGTCCGAGTCCTCCGAAGCCCTTTAACACTCTAGCCTTCCGGGAGGATCCGCTTCCGGACGTCTCAACTAGACTGATGCCATCGAACAGTTCGATGTTTCTTTCCTTGCTGGTGGTCTCCAGTAGTTGTTGCACGATCTTCCGGACGATTCGCACCCCGTGACAAGAAACCGATATATTCTTCGAGTCCTCAGCCACGCACGACGTCGAAAATCCCGTCCACGCGTCCTTGGCGTTGTCCGCGGTGACGGCGTCGACGGTGTCGACGATCGATAGCGCGACCGCCAACGCGACGCAGACGATCAGACGCCGACGACCGATCCCGGGTATACCGCCTATCCATAACATCGCTCCGTTAGAAAAACGAACGTCACGTACGTAAAAAAAATTCGGACGGCTCCGTCGACAAACAGCTTCCTAATGCGCGTTCGTTAAACAACAACCGTCTCTCCGCGCGTGCAAGAGCTGCAAGAAAAACTCCCGTGTGGAAAACTGTGAAGCTGCGGAACCTACGGCGGAGGTCCGAATGCTGCGGCGTAAGTGCTTGCAATTCCCATTTATATAGATCTACGTGACGGTCGGTGATTGTACTAAGAAAAAAGCAAGGAGAGCATTGCAGCACGATGGCTGCCACTCGCTGCTCTTGCTGTGCATTAAGCCGGTAATTTTTCGTTCCTAGACCCAGACGCCGGTCTCTTCGATTCGTTTAATTCTTGTTTCCGACGCGTTTCAGAGCGTTACGGCGCGGTCGGATTGCGAGAGGCTTGCCCGGGTTCCATCGGATCGGCGAAAGATGAAGACGCCTTCCTCCACCTCGCCGCCAACCTTCGCCGGTGTAATTCGCGTCTGGGCAACATCTTGAACATCAATTCTAGATCACCGCGCTCCCGGATCATCCAATACCCGCGATACTCTTCTCTCGCGGAGATACCAGCTCCGGCTCCGGCTCCGGCTCTCTTTCCTTTCTCTCCTTCCGCGCTTTAGTGGAGCGGAAGAGAACGTGCCGATTTCGAATCGCGATCATATACGCAAAAGGCGCGTCTCGTGGTCAAGTAAATCAGCAAATAATACACGCGTGTTTCCGCGAAACACTTCATGCGAGAAGTAGCCGATGAAATTTTTTGCACGGCTCTGATTGTCCATAGACCGAGGCAGCGATTATTGTCGATCTTATTCCGCGACAGGTACACATTGTACCTGCAAGTCCCCGAGATTCCGTGTCGTTCTCTTTTTTCCTTCTCTTTCTCTCTCTCTCTTTCTTGATGTACGCAAGATGACCAACATCGAGACAGGCTCTTACGTATCGGAGAATGTGAGAAATGCGAATGGGGAAGGGCAGGGTGTGGATAAACTCCGAGAAAGAGGCAAAAGAGACAACGAGAACGACGAATGTCGTGGAAGGAAAGAAGACAGAGATGACTGTCCAAATCTAGTTCATCTTCGTTGCGCCTTTCTCTTCTGTTCCACTTCCCCTCGCATATCCGACACTGTATATACGTAAGCAGAGGCTGAGGTATAACTACAGCCGATTCGAAATCATTCTTCCGTTCTTCGGGACGACTCGATCGCATCGGACGGACGATCGACAAACCTCCATTCAAGTTCGCGAGCCTCCGCAAGGCGGCTCTCGATCGTCATCGACTAGAATTAGTTGCGTACAGTCAAATCTGCGATACTAACGCGTGTATCGAAATTCATATAGAAATATACGGAATTGCGGTGGTTTTAATTACTGCACAACTAACATAAGCTATGCTCTGCTTACTTTAAAGCGCGAGAATTTACGACTTTTTATATTTGCGTTGTATTTTAGTTCACTCATGAAATTGAGGTTTATTGCGGATTTATCACGTTGCGCACAATATGCATCAAGGGTGTAACGGTCCGTAAAACAGTTCGTTATCATAACATTATCACGCTAGATTATTCGCATTTAAGTTATTCTATTTCTACGCATTTCTATTTCTTTTTCCTTCTTTTTCTTTATACTTAATGTGGTTAATATTGATTGTCAATGTGCGCGAAACAACAATTGCGATTTTTCTAAAAGTTGAAAAATTTTTTTTAGATCATTTCGGCAATTGCTAGAATAATATTTAATCGTTACTTTGTAACGTTTTTTTTTTTTTAAGACTTCAGCATTTCTCAATTTTTTAAATTATTATAAAGTATTTTTAAAATTATACAAATTAAAAAAATACCCGGCGTTTTAAAAGTAAAATTGATTGAATAAGCCTGAACGTCATAACACAATTACGCGATAATAGATATCTCATAAGCGTCAAAGAGATTTTCACCACTTTGCTCCGGTATTAATTTCTCCAATTTGTAGGTAATTGCGTTTCGAGTAAGCAAGAAACCAGGTTACTTTGGCATTTTGTATGTGTGCGCGCTTGTGCGAGCGCGCGCGATTGACCCACATATCAGAAATCAACGGTTAATTCCAGATCCAATGTGTTTGCCCAGATCGTTTTCCAATATCGATAGCGTTAATTCCTCGCGCGTGACAGCAAATAAGCGGTGAACAATTTGAGCACCGATTATATGGCAAATGGTGAACGTTCAAAGTTCGCGATGATAATAATCGCGACGAGTTGAGTAGAGAAAACGTATTAATATCAACAAACACTTGTTGGCGACAGAGAGTAAGATATCCGTGTATAATCGAGGTTTCGGACACACACCGGACTCGAATTTCTTTTCTCGTCACATGTGCAAACGTTTTTTGAAATAAAAACAAAATGAAGAAATTGGGTCAAGTCCGCAATCCTCCGCACGTCGGAAATCGAAAGTCGATTTCCTGAGCGTCACGAAGATGAACGGTTCTCTCTTTCTGCTCACACCGTGCTCTCTTATCTCGCGAATGTTTTTCTCTATCTCTGTCTCTCTTTCTTCTGATCCTTGCCGATCAGGATGGAGAAAGCGGACACTCGAAAGGAGGTCAACTTATTTGAATGAGAAATGCCTGATGTATCACGTGGTCCAGGTAGTTTTCCCTTCTATCCAATAAACGTGTCTAATTTTTTTTTCTAAGTGCAAAATAACAAATTCTCGCCTTGTGTAAATATTTAAAATATATTTATTTAATTAATAAAGAACAAATCGTTTGTGTGCGTATATGTATATGATAAAATATGTAAATGGAGATTAAATATTTATTGCTATTATTGTACAACGCGTAAGTGTTATAAAAAAAATTGTTCTTCTCGGCCTTTGAGAATACAATATATAATATAATAGTACTCTTACGATAACTCGTCTGCGGAAACGTAGATGCGCATTACGCCATATACAATAAGCTGGTTAAAATAATCACACGCTTGGCGCTAGAGTCCCGCTAAGAATTATAAACCGGAACGTTGCACTTGACATTCGTAATTGTCGGATATTGTCAATGATTTCATAGTCAGGAGCAATCCACGTGCTCTATGTAAGAAACTCGCGCAATAAAATGATATACTCGTCGTATTAAACTGTGAAAAATTAAAATTCAATTATATTAATTACTTATCATATTCAATTATATATTAAGTTTCTACATTAACACCAAATCGCATTTATACTTAATTTTTTGTTCAAAAGCATCACGTATCGCGCTTTTATCATTTTTAATCGGTAACCTCAAATATCTTCGTTATTAATATCAAAATATTCTGTTGTGTATTTTTTTTTTTGCAACTGTAGCATAAAAGCACCGAAATGAATCGTCTGATCGTGAAATCGGAACTTTTGTTCTCGCTTTTACGCGGCGATTTATTTTGCCCCATATATATCCGGTCTACAAATCGTTTTAAATAGACCACAACTAACGATCGTGACTAAAATGCTTACCGCACATAGTAATGCCTGTATCGTCCGCAGAAACTTGTGTTTAGCGACTGCGTAGTTCGAGCGTATCCGTCTCGACTTTTACACGAAAGTTGTTTCACCAGGGACATTAGTCACCGCGATTAAAAAAGGAGGACGCTCTTAAAAGCTTAATATCACGTGTTGAATCTTTCCGGCAGTTTCATTTCGAACTATAGATAACACATGTTACGAGAGATTTTTAATAACTGATTACAATTAGCACATTAAAAATTAAACAGTTACATTTGTGTTATCTGTTGTGACAAACAAGTCGTAGATACTAAAAATCGATTGTTTAGACAAAACTTTTTTGTAAGTGTAAAATATAAGGCTATTTAAAACATTTACTAATTACAAGTTTCGAGATATCAGAGATAAAAAGTATTGAATGACAAAGATCTTTACATCACAATAAAAAATGTTTTTTTATATATTTTTTTAAACGTGTGTATGGTAGGTACAATAAAAAAATAAAATTGTATAAAAATAATAAATATTTATTTGTTTGTTTACATACAAAAAGTAATAAAAAATATCAATAATATAAAAAAATAACAAAAAATTATAATACATTTCGCAGTCTCGTTAATTAAATGGTATAAATTGAACGTATATATAAATACATTATGCGCTTCATGCGTCGTTATTTATTATTTTAGTTAGTTTGGCATTATACGTCCGAGTGTTCTGTCCTTCCGTTAAGAGAACTTTATTTATGTAAACTTAAAAACAAAACAAGTCGTTCGTTCCGTCAAGCAGATCGCCACAAGACTCTCTGATAAAAACAGCTTGTTCTAATTTACTAATGCGCGAAAAAGAGAGCTCAACAAATTATTTGCACATTTGTGTGTGTGTGAGACTTTTGAATTTTTTTTATGATAGTTTAGAATTTATTACAGTTAGGTTTTAATAATTTCCATAATTACATGAAATTATTAATTTTGCAAAACAAACTTTATTATTTCTAATATTACGATTGATATTTTACGTCAAATGTTTACTTCGAAAATACTCATACCTATATGTTTACACGCGCAGTGCATTTAACATTAAAAATGATTATCTAAATAATAAATGAAATAAAACATCAATAAATACAATAGCAAATAAAAACTATATGTATATATATATATATATATATTATCTAAGAGTTTGCTACATTTGGCGTTAATTGTGGTCTCGTCTATAATTCTAAATTTCATTTATCTAAACTTTCCGTTTACAACAGGAAATACACGACGATATATACGACCACATTTAACGCCACAAGTAAACATGTTAAACCGAACGTAAGATAATCATATTTAACGTTTAATACGCAACATGTGCATGTACTTAAAAACTCTTTGACGTATCACAGGTCTGCATATTATAAGCAAACAAATCTATGGAAACGTGTGTGAATCTTCTCGATGACGAGAGTCTCGCAGTATCCGTGATTATTCAAAAGTCACGAAAGTAGACAAGAGTCTTGCGATGCGTATCCTCCGTACGCATTTAAACAATGAGAGACTCTTGTCTATAATCTAACGGCTGCACGTCCATAATCTGTAACGTAGCGTCTTTGATGTCGCCGTTGCGGTAATTATACGTACAACGTTGTCGTGTGTCAGTGACATATTCACGTGTCGTTCAGTCCGTCCTTTGAGCATGGTGAAGATAATAATGGAAAAGAGAGCAACGAGAGGAGCGATCGAAAGGGATGAAAAAAAGACGGAAAAAGATGAAGTGAGTACAAATAAATAATACGCTCGAGAGATGCGCGGATCCAAGGACGTCGATTGTCGTCGGCGACGATCTTTGGATCCTGCTCCGACAATAGATCGGGTAACGTTCACTTCACGTGCGCCGAGTACGCCAGCTCGTGAGCGTCTGTCTGACCGGAGGTCGGCGTCTGTCCGTAGAAGTTTCTCGCCCACCCGCTCGAGTAACTATCGCCGTGGCCGTGATCGTGGTGAGGATGCGCCACCACCTCATAGGTCACGTGTTTCCCATGCGAGAAGAGTTTCTTCAGGCCTATGATACCGGCCAGCAGGAGAGCGATCTTTGACAGGAGAAGAGCCTTGCCGACCAGAAGGGCGAGAGCCTTGAACGCGAGACCGCCGATGAGACCGATCTTCAGAATAGCCGCGGCCATCAACGGACCCATGTTGTTGTTTTTCTTTCCGCGACCTGCGAGAAGCGAAAAGACGGAAATTAGGAATTTAGAGACGGAACTATTGTTTACTTTCGACGAGTTAATCAACAAAGAAATACGACATATAATTGTAACTTTCCGCGGTGAAAGCGATAGAGTTCGGTGATGAATGAGCCAAAGCTAAGCGAAAGTTGTTTGTTTATGCAGTCGATGACACAACAACTTAACTCGCGCGTAGTGTAAATTGAAATCTGAGACTGAACTTGTCATTTCTGATATGCAAGTTGCTTGATCGTAACTTTAGTGAACAGCGTAATATCTAACCATAATGTTTGCGATATTATCACACTGCGCATCAATGCACAATTTTTAAACAATTTAAGAAATTAAAAAACATTACTAAAACTAAAAAAGATATAATAGTTTAAACGTAAATCGAAAAAATGAAATTTAATTCTTAACTTTATAAAAAAAAATGTGTGACAAATAATTGATTACTTTAAATTATCTCAATTTTATCAAAACTTTGAATACAAATTATTTAATTAAATGATAAAGTTATAATTCTTTTTAACACACACACGCACACATTAAAAGTTATAATTACCATCTTGAGTAGGTTTGTCGGATGGTTCGATGGAAAGACCCAGATTTAACGAACCGGTCTCGTCCTCCGACGCCGAGACGACGATATCGTCGTCGGGCAAAATTCTCCATTTGATACTCCTCGACTTAACGAAGGCGTAAATCTTGTTCGCGACAAGATCGAGGAACTGAGTCTCGTCGTCCTTGCTCCTGCCAGCTTCGAACGTGATAACGTCTTCCGACGTCTGGCTCGTTTTCCTGATCTCGATGTCGTCCGTGAGCTCGATCGAGGCCTTCTTCAGCAATTTGTTCATGTACGTCACCAACTTCAGTATCACGCAGCTGCTGATGTCATTTTGGGAGCATTTCGAGTTGAGTTTGCGAAGAAGCTCTTCTTCGTACTTTGCGCGATCTGTCAGCGTCACGGACTGCGGCTCGGTAACGCCGATCTTCTCTTTCTTCTCTAGAGGATTGGCCAGACATGCACTCAGACCGAGTAAAGCGAACACTAAAATTGCCTTCATGCTGCTGAAACATTTCAGAAAACATATCAGTTAGGCGCACAACACACACACGAACACTTACTCACGGAGAAAAATCAAATACAAAAACTAAAACGATAGATACATTTTTTTTAAAACGCCCCTTATTAAGATCAAAATCAAAACTTCAACTCGATATCTAATAACGATCAATATCGATTCGGTGTTATATGCAGATGAACACAGGAATGATATCAGTATTGATCGGATGTGAGGCTAGACGCGACTGTTCCGCGTGCCTCCGAGCGACACGTACGTACGTACGAAAGGATGTAGGTGAACAGTCGCGAGTACATTCAATGATCCGCGAATAACGGGAATGATAAATTGACCCACCTGTTGGGCCCCGAAGCTACAGAGTCGCAGAGGGAAGGAAGAGACCGGGACGTTGCACGAAAAACGGGCCCTTCTCCGAATTTGATTCAATCGATCAGCTGGTCGGATCTCGCGGATCTGCCCCGTCACGCGAATTCTCTCTCTGTGTTTCCGACACGATAGATCGAGAGGAGTAGTACAGGTCTTCTGAACCCGGCGTCTTGCCCCGACGACTTTATATACGTAGATCGCCGCCTTCGTGGATACATCCAAGGTGTGCGCAACATAGTTTGCACCACCACCTTCCACGCGGAAAGGTGTACAGAGGCCCCGTTGCGAGAAAGACGGTGGTCAGGAACGAATGGTAGTGGTGTATTATATGCCTTTGATACTCGGCTTTGAGAAACACGGCCGAGCGATGGCCCAAAGTAGTAGTGGGACAGATACATGCATGACTGTCTAGCAAGAGGATTGACCCGATCCAAGAGACTTATGGATGTGTAGTAGTATGTACGTATAGCTTGCTGTCCTTTGCGCGTTACCTGGCAACATATACGCGCAAAGAGAGCAACGCGCGCCAACACGCCTCCTCTTCCGAGGACGAAGCAAACGTTGTTTCCCTCCCGCGTTTGTGTGCACAACACAAACTGGTTCCCAGAAGCGTGGTGCACGCTACTGTATCGTAAATCGTGCGAACAGCAGCGGCTCATTGCGCTCGCTTCTTTCTATGTGTAGTAGGTGACGCGGCTCATGTACGACACGCGCGATTCATGAACGACCGCGTGCGCGCGCGCGCGGAAGAGGAAAACACGCGAGTCGCTCCCCGGTCGTTTCTGGTGGACCATTACCGACTCGCGAGAACCGTGTCACGAATGTGGAGCACGCACGCCATCCATCCGTTCGTCCATCTCCGAATGCGTATACGGGCACCTTATACGCAAGCGCAAGTATACGATGGTACGTTAATCGCCGGGCTTTTCACGAATTTTTTTTCTACGCACCCGTGAACTTTTAGAGTAGAGAGACGAGAAAAGATCCGCGCGCACACCGAGAAAGTTAGGACACAGACGAGTAAGTTGAGTTTGAGTATACGAAATTACTGGAGCAGAATTCGAACGAGAATCTATTTTTACCTGGTTTAATTAATTTTTTGAAAAAGTGTTGCCGGAATCGGCGAGCGGAAATGTGGATTAATTTACTTGACGATATATCGAACGTGCGTGTATTTTTGTATTCGTATACCAAACTCTCTTTATGCGCATATGTAATCTGCTCTAGAATGACGAGGATTTTTAGGATGACGAGGAGAAACTCATTTGCGGTCTTTAAATATAGACGACTCTAGATCTAATCGCACGTTACACACGATTTGACGCGCAAGTGAGAGACTCTCAGATTCGACGGACCGATGCCGCTTCCACACACACGTTGCTCCCGATATCAGATCTTCTTACTGACACGCGCGCGCATTATAGAATATATTCGATCGGCACACGTCATTCATTAGTCGTTTGATTGCGAAGTAGCACTAAGGATTCTATAAGGCGTGGAAAGCAGCGGCGCGTTGCAAAAATTTCGAAGAAAGCGAACGAGAGCGAACGCGCGAAGATATCGACACTTGCGATTTATCACGTTGCATATCGCGCGTATTTTCCAATCCGATAAATAAACAGACAGTTGAGCGCTTCTGTGATATTATTCGGTGAATAAATATCGTTAATCTTTCGTCGAGGTTGAAAAACTACAAGCGCCACAAAAACCACTTGTTTTTATTACTCAGAGATGAACGCGAGATATTAGTTAGGATAATAATTCTTTTCGACCAGCAAAAAAAACCGCAAGATTGTCAAATAAAACTTTGTCATTCTGACAAATGACCAAGTCATATACGCGCGATAATTAGATGTTTTGAGCTAACGAGTGAAGCAATTAAACTGTTAAGCAGAAAATCATTTTCTTACTAGATTCGTCTGGCGAAATACATTTATCATCGTCTTCTCTCAAACGAGATACAATCTGCAGTAGCGGTAGGATCTATATAACAAGACATCTCTCAACACTGATTTATGTTTATTTATTTTCATTATTACCTTACAATCCCGTTTACTTAATTATAAGTTTACTGCTTCCAAGACATTCATCGTAACGAATAAAATAATTACAATTTGCCAGAAAATAGAAGAACCAGCGTGTGTATTTTACAATATTCCGATATAACAAAGTTTTATTTGTTTTTTTTTTCACACGCCATTAAACGTTGAAATGTATTTTTTGATGTCTCGAAGCAGAGATTTATTATTAATTATTTGACCAAAAAAATAGTCTCAGCATGAGGTGTAATTTCTCTACTGCACCTTCACGGGAATAGTATTTCAAAAAAGCGTCGTAAACCGAAATAGCTCTTAAATACATCGAATACTGTTACTTGGTGAGTAATGATACGTGGGGGAGATCGAAGAAAATGATCGCCTCTCTTATTCTTGAATTTAGCCGGTTTTCTCGTAAAAGCAACTTTCGCGGGTAGGCGCAGAGGTTAACGTCGCGACCTAACCGCGAAAGCTCGTCATATGTAAACCGATCTTTCCTATAGCGGACTATACGATACGTGGAAATCGAGATGCTCGCGAGCGTTTTGGTGCTCCGTGCACCGTTATATTGAATTCCAGACGGGAATTATTTGAGAATTCTCCTCTCTGAGAATCTGTTTGTCGAAATAAAACAACTATTGATAATGAGGCGTGCAGATGCATGCCGCATAATATGATCAATTTGTCGCTGTACTACTTTAATCCGCTTTAAGTTTTGCATATTGCAAAAAAATATTGACAATTGTGGCTTTTGATATCTTTTAAATAAATTTAATACTTATAAATTATTTATAGAAACTTGTATAACATAATGTGTGCTGCGAAAAACAGGTGAGCGACCTGACGGAAAATAGCGTCGAGCAGACACCTTGGAATTGTTTGCATTAATTTGCGTACGCATACATCTCTTCAAAAGCACATCAGTCGCCCAGATCCCACACTCATAATACGCAATGCTAACTTGGACCGTTGCACGATGGCGAAAAAAGATAGCGCGCGATCTCAGCAGAAAAGAACACAACACCGTTAATAATCAAATCGTTGTAATACATCGTCGACAATTATTTAGCTCACGTAACTGTATTGTTAATCTCATTTTTTTTTTTTTTCATCTAATATGCGCAAAATTGAAATATACGTCTGATTCGTTTACAATCAAAAAATACATTTTCAACATTGAAACTTAACTCGCGGAAAATAAAAACGGTGAAATTCAAAAAGAAAATGTATGAAAGTTTCGAAGCTTGTTATTCTCGCGCAAGGGCTTCCGGTAATTTAATAGAAAGTACAGAAAAAACCGAAAAGTCGAACGACTTCTTTTTATGCAGTGGCATCGTTTTCGCCCCGTACCATACTTGTAACAAACAACAGTTTTCTCAGTAATTCTACGTATGTATTTTCGGACATTTACAAAGAAATTTATATAATTACGAGCGCGCTAGTTCGCAGGTTTTTCCCTGTGGAGAGACAGCCAAATAATCCCATTATAATCGTCATGACTCGCGTTTCCTTTCACTCCCGCGCGGGCGAGTGTATCACAATATCACAAATATAATCATGTTAGCAAGAGCACCAGACTATCTTACTTTTTATTCCAAATAGATTGCAATTTTTGAAAAAAATTCAACGCTAAGTTTTTAAATTTTATTATTGTTATAAATCAAATAAAATAATAATGTGAGTCCGAAAAATATCTCATACATGTGCAGTGCACGCTTTTCCAATTTTGTTTTTGCAAAAAATCAATTTAAAACGCAAATGATAAATGGAAATCAATTGAAATTTCTATCTATAGGCGTTTTTCGCATATCGCCGTAGAACGGCTCCTCGTTTCCGGTCTTCTCGATAAACTAGGCCACTTGGTCAGCAGGTCCGTCTCATCTAATTCTCCGGATCGCGAGTAAGAATCGGACCGGTTCGCATCTAAGATAGTTCCCTACGTGCATCCGAGAGAGAAGTGGAGTGACATCGGAAAATTTTCACGCGATTAAAGAGGATATTGGGTAATATCCGAGTATTGCTGGCTGAACAAGTATTTTTGGTTTTACGTGACAGTAGTGAGAAACATCTTTTTCGTAAGATTACTAGAGCAAGAAATTTAATTTACATAATTTATGTAAAAATTATCGTGTTCTATATTTTTTTCTTTCAGCGTATAAAGGACTTTTATGTGAAGCAATTGATAAATATCTAAAACAATAATAAAATAACGACAGTAATATCACATTATAATTGTCTACTGTCACTTTATTATCAGGATTTCTACAGAAGAACAAGTGTCAAAACGCTAGCTCACTATCGGACATAATTTTTGTATGACAGCTCATCAAAGTATAGGAAATCACACAAGGTCATATGTAGTGAATGAGGTGAATCAGATAAAAATTAGAAGCTAGCTCGAATTTTGACTTTGCAAGTTAAAATTTTAGTTGATCAAAAATTATTGAGTCTTTGACGAGCTGTCACACAGATATTACGTTCGATAACAAGCCAGCGTTTGACACTTGTTTTTCTGAAATTTGTCAACAATAGTCATTCGAATACTTATCAATCGTTCCATGTAAATAGCTTTGGCACTTAAGTAAGCAGAACATGAGTGATTATCGATGAAGGCAAATATAAAACGTGTCAATAATTATAAAAACAATTTACGCTGACGTATATGCAAAGAGTATCGAGCGAGAGTAATAAATCTTATTAATTGATACGCAAGAGATTCCTTTTCACGGTCGACTTCTCTGCACAAATTATCGCGTTCTAGTTGTTTTGTATTTTTAACGTTAAGATAAGAGTTTAACCATTTACAAATATCTTAGATGCAAAAGTTTTTCTTATTTATACATTCTTCTTACAAAAAGAAGTTTATAAAACTATTATTTATATATAATATTATTTAATTTTAAACTTGATGTTTTTACTTACAAAATACCATTTGTATTATAAGTTACTTTTATGCTATTACACATCAATAGAAAAAGTACAACGATACTTCACAGATAAAAACAAAATGATTTTATAACAATTTAAAAGCTCGTAAAACTGTACAATTAAATATTAAAGCCAATATGCGAAATGTACGTGCAATTATATATGTATTTGTTTACTTTCCTTAAACGTATAAATTAATACACAAGTAAAATTTGAATTAAAGTTAATTAAAAAATTCATATAGTTTGCATTGATTGACCCGACAGTCACACGCAACCTTATAAGAGCTGCGAATCTGGAAGTCCCAAGTTCAAATCCCGTTTTGAGATTTTTTCCGACCCATAATAACCGAGTATAGATCGATTGAAAGACAACTTGCATCGGGTTTTAAAAATTTAATTCGACAGTTTACTTTCGCTAAATTTTGTAAAATAAATGATTTGAGTAATGATTATATTTCTAATCTGTACTGTTTGATCAAAGGCAGTCTAGCTGAAACATAAAATTATACATCACTGATGTTGTCAATATTGACAGTAGAATTGACAAAATATTAGAACACATTCGATCTGATTTTGATCTAATTTTTCTTCATATTTAAATTGTTTTCATTAAACTGATTGAGAATATATTTTTATTTTAAAAACAATTGTAAAAATCTATTGGTCAAGGTATCTTTTTTGGAGTATCAAAGGATTTTTTAATTTTCATGGAGAGAAAGAGAGAGAGAAAAGATAAATTGGGCATTTTATTGTACATATATGAGTTGCAAGCATGGTATGTAAATTTTCGAATTCAATTCAATTCAATTTTTCATGTGCATTAATTTACATGTTTAAAAGAAGTAAATAAATATATATACATACACAATTGTACATACATCCGGCATATTGGCTTGTATCTTAATACTTAGTTGTAAATTGGTTTTATATAGACACAGCACTTTTAAGATATAAAAATCTTCGTATTACGTATAAGTAACATAAATTAGCAAACGGTAAGCAATAGCATACGTTATAATAAATATAACTTAACAACATATTTTGTATTTTATAATACATATTTTACATTACAAAATATTTTAATTTCTATTTTTCTTTTCTCTAATACACGCACTCACATATACACGCGACATATAAGATTTTTTTTTCAACCATTTATAATGAATAAAAAACATACGACTTAAGAGCAAGATAATTATTTTCAGTAATGAAAATGACTTCTTATTTACAAATATTTTTTTATACGTATAAAGACATGGCTACATTTTTTTCTATAAAAATACATAAACTCAGTTATAATTTAACTACTTAGAATTATAATGTTGATATCCCCGATATGCTAAATCCTGACCGTAGGTTCCTGCACTTCCGTAATGACCGGCATAATCAATATCTGGGTGTATACCGTACTGAGGATAGCCGATTCCATTTTTCGTGTAAACTGGCGCGTGATAGGTTTGGTACGGCTTATAAAACTTAAAGAAACCTATTATACCGGGTATAACAATTGCTAGGAATCCGAGGAACTTCTTGAATGAAGCCAATCCTAAGATTAAAGGCAAGAAAAGTAATAACTTCAACTTGAAAAGCTTCAGGATGAGTAACATAGGTATTATAAGTCTTCTAAGCTGATAACGAGCTGAAACAAATCAATTCAAAGTTTGCATTAAACAAATTTGCATAAAGTAATACATCTAAAATCTATAAACATGAATTCAGAAATATTTTTTGAAACATATTGTTTAATTTATTATTGAAAATAACTTTAAAACAATTTTGTTTATTTAAAATTTTAAAATAAATACTTACAAAAAAGTGTATCCTTCTTGTCCTCAAGAATGTTTACTTCGTCAGCGATCTCGTCCAAAAATCTTGCCTTGTACGAGCCATCGCTACCAGTTTCCGTATCAGGTATAGTCAATTCGAAAGACATTGTTTTAACAAATCTCTCTATTTTTCGTTTTATAAAGTTAAGCAGTTGATCCCATTCTGTTTCTTCGGATCTAAAATATAATATATTTTTTTTTTTTTAATCTTGAAGACGCTATACTCTATTCATATTTTTAATGTTAGCAAAATATTTAAAAAATTCTTGTGGTTGCTTTTTTTTTAATCGTATAATCAAGAAAGTACAATTTAAGAATTTTAAAAAACCACGAAAATTTTTACACGTAACGTTATAATTATAAACTTAATTACTATACATGCATTTTTTTATAGAAATAAATTTGTACCTAGGTTCATTTGAATATTCGTACGGCTGATGATCTACTTTATTCACTACTCGATCAGACATCCGTTTAATCCGGACGTAATCATTCAAAGAATATTCAACATGATCGAAGAAGTCCGAAAAGTAACTTAAAGCTTGGGATTTAAAACATTCAGCCAAATCGCCGCTTATGCAACGTTCGTTGACCTTTGCCAAGTATGGATCAACGTTTCGTCCGGTTCCAAGACCAATATAATCGAATAGGTTTTCTACATGTTGAATAGGATTAAATCCTCTTTGTTGCGACGGAGCTTCTTGCGGAGTTTCTGAAATTATAAATTTAAAATCATTTTATACTTTTATATTATATTTTTAATCTATACTTTAGTTTGTCATTTGTTTTTATTATGTTACCTTGTTTTTCTGTTTGATCTTCGGAATTGTTATCCTGAAATGTAACCTTGCCGATAGATTGACACCATACCTGCGAGGACGTCAAAAGTATTCCCAGAATTACCAACAACTGCTGCGGTTGCATTCTGTTTCTTCTAATTACTCCACCTAGAATAACATTTTTTCGTCAGTTTATTGTATATTAAAAGATTTAAAAACACATAATATCATGACACACAATAAATTCAACACAATGTCAAATAATTAATTTGTGACACTTAATAATTACATTTAAACAATTGATATAATCTCTATCTTCAAATTATTTTTGTTTTTTTAACGAGAGATATTTGTTTACACATTAATGTAGTTTTTTTTATATTAATGTAACAAAATTTAAATACCGTACGTAAATTAACAAATTAATTTATCGCACAAGATATGTTTGACACTATCATCGTATATGTCATATTTGTTATTTTTTTTGGCAAAAAAAAATACTTTACTGAAATCAAACTCTCTTCTCACCAAACTGTCAAATAATCACAATTCAATATATTTTTACACAACATTCTTGTCACAAAAATATGTTCGCGGTGATCCTCGAGAACAGTGCTCGAACGTCTGCGAGATCGACTGTTGGCAGTCGACGTGCTGGTTCACCAAGTGCCGTTAGATGAGCGCGCCAATCAGAGCCGAAGGAAAGAAACCGGCTACATGATTCTGATCACGCGCGCATTCTACTTCAATAATAACGCACTATCTTTGCATTTATAATTTCAAACCGCAAATTCTATTATTATAATGCACAAAATTACAATGTAAAGTATTACTCTACAAAACGCTCTCAAAAAATACAATAATGGTAAGGTAGAAATTGCATGGCATTGGTAAGTTTCTTTTAAAGTGAAAACACTCGAGATAAGTTTCTTTTAAAATGAAACAACGATCGAAATAAACACTAATAAATTACAAGAAATAGACAAATAAACAATTTCTAATTTTTATATTAAAGTTTTTATATTAAAATCTTTTTTCATCATTTTTGAAACAAAGTAATACATGTATATAAAGTACATGTGGAAACAAAACCTTTATTTAAAATATATAAAGATTAAAATGTGCATGTGTAACTTACCTTATTAATCGCAAGTTAAATCTCTGAAAGAGAAATTGATTATTTAAAGTATTTGACGTTTTCGAAATGAATCAATGTAAACTACAAATATCCAATAAGCGCACTGGACACGGTTTTACCCGAAAGCCATGTGACTCCTTGACCATCGTCTTTGTATTTATAACGTATGAGAGTACCACCTTACTCGAAGTGGGAGAAGGATCCCAGAGGGATTTCCCAGAAAGGCTAACAGGACAGGAAGATTTACAAAAATGAAAGTGAAAGTGGTGTCCGGAATGAGAGCCGGAACTGGATGGCTTTAAGGGAATAGACAACGTTGTGAGACGGTAGGTACAACACGGCAAGTGAGAGTCAATGTACTTTTCTCTTCAGTTTACAACTTAGGTGAGTCATCCTGCCATATTAAGAGATCCTTTATTCGTAACAATATTCTTCTCGTTTTTTTTTTTTTTTTTTTTTTAATATAATTTTCGCGATAAATCACTTTGTGCTTTTATATGACTTAACAGTATTTTTGTAATATTCTGCTTTTTTATAAAACATAACTTTATTACAAGATCTAACTGACTTGACACATCGCTTTCTGTAATTAATGTACTTTGCCTTTCTAAGAAAGAAATAAATGTTTTTGTTCTTAACACATCTTTTGAACAGGATTTTGATTATGTAAACGCGATCATTCACAGAGAGTTTAATGTGATTATATCATACATTGTGACGCCTCGCTTTGGAGAAAGCTCTGACGTCATACATGTTTTATTGACGTAGTCTGTACATTATATATGTATAAATATATGTATATCCTGAAAGTAATGGTAATCGCACTTTTCTTAACTAAATTACATTATTTATCTAAATACACACGCATTTGACGCGACGCGCGCGTTTTTTAAATTAATTAAATACATTTATCTTTGTAACTAACTCTCTTTGCAAATAAATAGTCGTAATAAATATAATCGCAAAATTAAATTTTGTACACATGATAAATAAAAGTAATAAATAAATAAACTATACAATAATCGTTTAAAAACGCTATATCTTGTACCTAAACTACATCTTTAAGTACTTAATTCATTTAAATCGTTAAATTGATTGAGTGATTCACTCGTGTGTGAGAACACTTGATTAATAGAACACATTAAAATTAGAATTTTCTCGGAAGAGATTAGAAAGTGTGCGCAAACTACACCCTCGCTGCAGTACAATCTAATTATCGATAACAATTTCTTAAGAAAATCATGTGAAAGAACAACTTTCTCTATAAATGTTATAATCGGATATCATCTCCATATTGAAATCACTTTGTTATGTGAGAAGTAGATTGAGTCACATAAATCTCTCCCGTAAACGAAAGCCAAACGTCGCATAAATCACAAGACGTTCTTGAGAATTACATCAACACAGTTTCCAGTTACTGTTTGCTGATAATTATTTCTGTATAGGATGCGACGTTTGTTCGCTATCTCTTTCTAACGCATTTTCTTCGCTGAATTTATAATCATTAACCGACTATATAAATCATTGATTATGGAAAATGCATGTTCGTTGTTATAATATAATTTATATTTCTTACCATTTTTAATGAATATTATTTATTATCAATTATTCCGAAATTGTACAAATGATTAACAGAAATTTTTCAAAGATTATAATTCCGACATGAAAAACTGCAAGTGCACGTATGTGAGATAATTGATAAGTATCCGAAATGACGCATAGACAGCGGCAGTATCACATTGTTGTTTCATCTTTCAGAATAACAAATGTCAAATGTCACGCTATAGTTTATTATCGCACGTAATTTTGTATAACAGCTCGGCAAAGTATAACCATTTGCGGCATTGATAACTTGATTGTTGCTCGAAAATTTATTTTCCTTTTTTCAGATTCGGAAATAAACAAAATCAGAAGTAATTAAAACGAATGAAGCAGCAATTCAAAGTCCAATTCGTAAATTTTGATCATTGAAGTTGAAGTGTGAATTGGTAAATTGTCAAAAAAATTATGGAAAGAGTGTTTACTTGCGACAATGAGCCAACGTTTGACATTTTTCTCAAAGATGAAATTTGTCAACAACAATGTGTAATACATTGCCGCTATCTATGCCGTATATCATTTCGGATACTTATCAATTGTTTTTTGCCATCAATGATAATTTAGAAAAATTGTATATAATGCTTTAAAGTTTGTTCGATTAGTGAAGTTTTAGTGGTTATTACAGATTAATACATTACAAAGCTCTCAGAAGCTTCAATACTGCAAATTTCAAGTTCTTCTATCAAAAATATCATTAGACTCTGATATCGAGAGGAACATGAAATATTATTCCTTAATATTAAACAGTTAATACAATTTTTTGTTTTTAGGAAAAAACCTTTGAGTTTTTGCATTTTTCTTGACGTACTAAACGAGCATCTGAGGCGCTTACGTGATATATGTACGTAATTTGCTTTAAAACATCTATAACTTTACACACGCACTACATACATCTACGAACGAATGCTGAGTCCTCAGAACAGTCGCTGCATTTTTTTTTTCAGTGACTGCGCATTCAATTAGAACTGTTCAAGTAGCTCATAAATTGGGGTTTTTAACGCAATCTACTTTTTTTTACGGTACGAACGTCCGTCGTGTTCAGATCTTCCTGGCTTGAACGAGCTTGTTGATGTCCTGATATGTCGCCAGCATCGCCTGATTCTGCTTCAGAGTCTGATCCTCCCGAGCGGTCTCACAATTCGCGTAAACGTCTTCGCACTTAAGACCGTCCTGACCGTCCTTGGCGGCCTTCATGTACCTGAAGAAGCGCAAGACGTCGGGATTGTCGTTGGTGGGTCGTCTCAGCTCGTTCAGCTCTCTCGACAGTTGTGCCGAGACCAGATTCGAGTACGGCGCGTATCGCGCGGGACTTCGATACATCGCGCACACCGTGTATTCTCGGCAACCTTCCGTGTTGTAGCCGAGACGAGAGAAAACGGCGTCAAGACGCGACAGCAGTGGCGAGTAGAATGGGTCGTAGTTCGTCAGTAGCAGGGAGCTTGTTGGAATCTCATGGAAGACCTGCCGGTCGATAAGTAATACATGTTTATGACCATGTGTTTCTAATAGGTTTCTCATATCCGTTACGCGCACAGCGCGCTAAAGAGCTTGCTAGACAAGTTAATATAAAGTAGGTCGAGCGCGATTCTCAATAGAGATTGTCAAAAGACGACAACGTGTCACTGATCACTCGATAATATATAACAGCAAGGTGAGGAAACAAAAGGAGCAGCGCATTGTTACGACTTACTTACCTAGTTCGTCGCTGGACACAAACTCTTTCGAACTGTTAGCAACTGCTAACAGGCGCTAATGCGGCGGTAAATGTACAAATTTAAATATTGTCTTTGTCAATAGTAAGAGCTTTCACGAAAAGATTTCCACAGCCGTAAAGAGAAATTTCGCAAAATATTACTTTAAAAAAAAACTTCAATATTTCTCTCCTGAATTTTCATTTGCCAAAATGAAAATTCAAAATGCACGCACGTAACTGAATGATGTAACAATTATTTGTTTATTTATGAAATTGGCTAATTTTACTACCTTAAAATCTTGTTTCTTCTTTTGTCCGTGCATGGCCACGTGTCTCATGTAATAACGATCCGAGAGCGCGTTTGCGTTAGGTTTCCTCGGATCGACGAACGTGTAGCGGGACGCAATTTCCGCCGGGGTTTTCTGCGGCTGCATCATACTCTCGTCGTACATGGCGGATGCTGGTAATGTGCCTACGGGTTGCCGCGTGAGATAGTCGTCGTTGTAAAGGTCAGTGTTATCCTTGAATTCGAAGTTTTCCTCGGGTGCCGCGGTCGGAACGTACGATGATTGCGCGAAGGTGGAGACACCTGTAATTTTCCAGCACACCTTTGTATTTAATTCAAGAGGGATAAATACTTTCTAAATTAATATTAATGCTGCTGTGTGATACGAATCTTCATATGCAACATTCCTGTCAAGAAAAAAAAAGAGAGAGAGAGAGAGAGAGAGAAAGAGAAACCGTTTCTCTAAACAGTTAACTGTTAACTTCTTTGCCTTTTGAATTTTTTTGGGTAATTTACATTAATTTGAAATTCTACATTTTGTAGTTAATATTTATAATTAGAACCCATTAAAGAGAAGAATTTTTTCACGGTAAGCAATTTGACATGTAAATCTTAATATTATTTAAAGTCGACTTAATAAATATTGTATAAAAAAATTATCATATAAAAAAAAGATTGAATAATTATTATAATTACGCAATTAATATTTTAATTATAAGATATGTGCACATACCTTTTCCGACGATATTACCAATACTGCCGATAATGCTAGGTAGAAAAAGAGCAAGTAGTACGCTCTTAATTATCTGCACGCCGAAGAACAGGGGCAGCAGCAGTTTTTTCAGACCGAACGCTAGAAAACCAAGTCCGAATCCTGTTAAAAACGTACTCTTTCCCTGAAAGACAGCTGAAAGCAAAAGTACCAGCTTTGTTAAAGCCCTGCGGTTAGTTCCTCAAAGCCATGCTGCACAGCCTGTGATTTGTTTTCGTATTTCTACTTCTTCGATTCTCCGTTCGTCGCGCGTTTCGCTGAAACACACACTCCATGTGTGAACAGAAAACAAAAAAAATATTCATCGTGTGATTATTAATTAATTCCTTTGCTCGCATAAATATTATATGCTGGTTTAGTTCCCGTTTTTGCCAATTAGCAGTGACCCAACCTTCGTTATTTGATTTTAATTCCAAAAAGCCAATTCATCAAGTTAAAGCCCTCTCTTTCTCACATACTGATCTCGTTTTTTCGCCGGATCGCGTCTGCGAGCGTACTAGATTCGCCGTTTGTTGATAATTAAAAACATTTATTAATTAAGAGCTACCACGCGTATTGCGTTGAATACAATACTAATTTTTATTAAGACAAGCAATTAAAAAGTTACGTTTCTTAAAGAGATATCTTAAAAATCAGAGACGAAAGGTGGAAATCGAATAAATAATTTTGCAGCAATTCGAGCAATTTTCATAGTTTTCTCGTAGTTTTCTCTTTGACTAGAATCGTTCAATTAGTTTCACTCCGCATCAATTGAAGATTATGCAACTGCTTCGCTGCAACGTGCGGATAATAATAAATCTATCGGCCGGCTCTCGGGTATCGTGACGCGTTATCAGAAAAATCCACCTTTCGTGGCAAATGTAACGGCACTAGTACACACGCGACGACAAAACCCGTAGCCAAGCGGTCGAGAAACTCACAACCGAAGAACGTCCTGGCTTTCCTGGCGAGGTTCAAATTCTTATCGAGCTGTATCTTCATCATGTGTGTCCGGACGTAGTGATGAACCTCGTCCAGCTTCGAGTCCGGATCGTTGTCGTTCTTGCATTCGTTGCACGCTACGTCCGCTTCGGGGTTTCTTATTATCTGCACGGAATCTGTCACGTTGTATGTATCAACCCTTGAGAGATAATCCAGGAAATTGAAGAAATTCTCCCCGATACACGAGACCGTGAGCTTTCCGTTGCATTCGGATGTCGAATTTGATGGAGATTGATTGATCGTTGAATCCATTTCGATTGGATTAGCCGTGACGTTCGCTATTCTCGTCGTTTCGATCTGATACTCCGCTTTGTCGTCCGCGTTATACTTTATATCGAACTTGGTCGGTTTTCCATGCATATTGTGCGGATGTTCGTGCGACGATAGTTCGTCGTTTTTGTTTTCAAATTCGTGAGAGAGCGGCACCTCGTTCTGAGCGATGACGTCGTCATTGTGAATTGTCTCGTTCAAGGACGCAGCTTCTGCCTTGACCCTCACAACGAGACACGCCACAGTTAGGATCACGATCGAGAAGGTCACGGCTGCTCTCCCTCTTGCCATTGTCCGATCTATGAGAAAGGCACCGGGTGCTCTCGACTGTCGGCTAGCTACAGTTACTACGAAAAAAGAACTGCATCTCGACCTGCAGCTTCGTTTTCTGAAAAAGAAAAGTCGAAGCAAGTCAGTAACAAAAACATTAAAAAAGCGATACGTGCGAATACATTTGTTTTGAGTAACATTTGCAATAGAGAATCACGAAAGAGAGAATAATAAAATAAAATAAATATACATACATGTATATCAGGAAATATCAAATGTTTCTTCTTTATCTTTTGTTTCTCACTTTCTTTCGAAAACAACTTTATTGAGCAATTAAATAATTTCGTTAGTTGTGAAGTTACATATAAAGTTAAATATAAAGTTAAATAATATATTTTGTTACATGTAAAGTTAAAAAAATAAAAAACTGTTTCATCAATTTATGTTTTTTTAAAATGTTTTTAATATGTAACAATTATTTCGGTTTTTGTCGATTAGTAACGTAGATATGTAACGGTATACTGTACATAAAAATATTATTGTACAAATTGTCAAGCGAGTGTATAATAATAACATAGTGTAACACACGTGTGGCAAAACTCGGTTATGCTAGATCACTCTTGCATGTCCTCCCTGTTCCAAACGGTCAGCTGATTCTTTCATCCATATGATTGAATGTGTACAAAGATTCTATTAAATAAGGTGATGGGTCAACCGATTAAAACTTCTTTTTTTTTTTAACACGCAATCTATTGTCTTAATGATTTATTGTTGTTTACTGATTTTTTAATTTCTCTTAATTTTTATCATTTTTAATCTTCGTTCAACTCAAATTAAGCAAATGTAATTTTTAAACACCATGTACATGTTTTAACTTAATCGTAAATTTTTTATAATTTGTTCAAGAAGATTGTATAGTTATTGTGTGTGTGTATAAATTTTAACAAAATTAAATATAAACTTATAAAAATTGTATTCTTAAATTTTTATGAATATAAAATACAAACTTATTAAACAAGCTTAAAGAATAAATAAAATAAAATCTTAAATTGTGTGTGTGTGCTATCATGTTTACTTTCACTTAAATATGATTTTACCTTTGGTTAATTTAGATAACATGCGCAATATAACTAAATGGAACAACAAAAAGACTTAAACAAAAGATTTATTATCATTTTTTACATAAATTATTTAATGTTTAAAAGCCTAATTATGTACACGTGCGTGACTAATAACCGATGTATTGAGCATGTCCTTTCACCAATCCGTTCTATTGTGATCTTATCAGACAACTCTGTTTTATTTTTTTTATACACAGCCAATTGTATTACAGTCAATTTTTCTTTTGATCAATCGACCATGAGACGATCTGAGAAAATTTATAACCGGTACTCTTCAAAAATCGAATCCCATACTCACTTTCACGGACTATCGCTGACATCAATACTCCTAAGATGTGCGCACCTAAAGGCGATCGGCGTCAATCTTTAGCAGTCAACTTCTTTTTCACAATCGAAACGCACCCGGTCAATAGGATGACCGCGCTTGAATGATCGAACGCAATCGTTCACGACGTCCAACACTCTACTACTGGCAGCCGGTCTTCGCAGGATCGGCTCGACTGACCCAATCTGGGTTACCCGGCCATCCGTCTGTCCGTCCCTCTAGCCATTCCTTTCCTCCTTCTACGCTCATCGTCGTTCGTTCATTCGTCCGTTTGTTCCCGCCATCTCGACTCAAGTCATATCTACCCTTCTTTGGATACCCGGGAAGAAGAATTATAGGGTATCAATCGCTTCACCCCCTTAAGGGGAAAAAGGAAGAAGTACTTTTCCATTCATATTCGATCGATTGAATTCGTAGCGAGTCTAAACTGTTAAAATCGCATACTTCACATGGACGATTTCACTTGACGGTATTTCGGCAACCGTTTGCATCAGCGAGTTCAATGAGCTTGACGACGCCCAGTGATATGAAGAAATTGCTCGGCGAGGTTATTGCGGTTAAATCTCGTGATCTTAATTTGTTCAAAAATAGCAGAAAGAAACTGATGCAAATGAGAAGATGCTCGAGAAAAATTTCAGTTAATCTCAGTGAGAATTCTCTTTTTCCTATTTGTAGCTCTATTAGCGTTTATTCTTTTTGTTATTGGGTAATATGTAAAACATTACACAGTACATATATGTGGAATTATGCATAGAAATCGTGACACTGCATAAATGTTTGCCAACAAAAGCATAAAACAGTGATTAACATTTTTACTAAACCTTTTATATGATCCACTTTTCATATGGAAATTTTCTTCTTCTTGGTTGTGACGTCAGTGAAGATCGCTTGTTTAAATCCAATCAAATTAGTCACGAGTCCACTCGCGGTTGCACACTTTTACAAACGATTTCTCTCATGTTTTCTTGGAAACTTACCAATATATCGGAGGTAACGTGTGTCTTTGAATAGTGTCCGTGACCTGGACTTGACTTCCGAAAAACTGGTTTACCTATTTTAAGTTCGTTTACGTGATAGATCGTCTTACGCGATTGCCATTTATATTTAAAATTTGACATAGAATCTTTGTAGATACATTTCGAGGTAATGTTTGCAACACGAAAAATAAAATTTTAATACAGAATAATGTTAAATCATAAAAAATTAAATTTTTAATCTTTCAAATTTCGTACGTATAACACGTACATGTATCTTTTAGCAGCACTTTTGAATTTATAACTTAAACATTCTCTCCTTGCGCAAAATTGGAAAAATATTCTCTTTGCAAAAGAAGGTCACACTCTCTGGTGTCTCACTTTTTCGGATCGAGTTTCACATTCGAACCAGTGTGACACGCCTACAAAGTTATTCACTCGTTTCTTGAAAATGCAAGTCTCATTAATAAGTTAGCTTCTTCGTATTGTTATCAGTCACTATTCCTTTTTACGCAGATTGTTTTTACGCGGATTGTCTAGATGAATTTTTGGGCAATTACACGTCCAGTTTATCACATACACAAAGCAATACAAAAAACGTCCTGCACTAAGTAAAATGTTTTTTTTTGAAAAACAAAAGGAATTTATGATAAAAAAAAATGTTAATGTGTCACCTTTTGGCAAAGGTTTTTTTTTATTTATATTTATGTCATTTTTATATATTAACACATAAATACGTTAAAATACATAAATTATACATATATACTCTATAGTTTTCTATTGGCGCAATTTCGCGATATCATCTATCACCTATAATCTCTTAGCTTAAAGCAAGGTGGGAAACTCGTAGGAATGTTTTACATAAAAAAAACATCGAAGAAAAGAGATGCGCACGCACAATACATTTTAAAAACTTATTTTACAATTTTTGGTTCTGTTACATCTAGATAATAAAATAAATATAAAATATACACAACACAGAGAGTACATTACAAGCGCAATTTATCCTAGAAGTTCAGACATAAATCTACACAAACGCCAATCATTGTAATATTATTTTACACTTTTTATTCCTATCTTTCCTCCAAGGATTATCAGCAGTAAAATTCTAATTGACTTCCGCAAGTAAAACCCAATCTGCTCAAGCAATACCTTTAATTAAATTGCTCGTTGTCGGGCTTACTTCCTGCGAAATAGTTTTCCAGTGATATCCGAAACACCTCCGGGGCATTTATTTATATACGCACACTTCTCAAGATCATCCGCCTACGTCATTCATACGAACCGAGCATGTACGAATTGTACAGGCAATACTTTTGTCGTAGTACGGATGCGCAAGTCGAGCGCCCGTGACATGAACGACGGTCCGTTACGTTAATGCGACTTTTTCATTCGCATATAACGTAAGAACGTAACGGTCGAGTTGTCGCGGACAAGTTCACGTCGCGTATCGATCGCAACGTATCCGCAGCTATTCTCGATATATCGCTTCCAATTAGCCTTTCCTCTTGTTTTCTGAAACATTCTCGCAGACCTCTTATCTATCAACTTATCCATTTATCGAGCACAACTTCCCGAGCACAACTTCACGAGTTCTCACATTCGTTCTCGTTATTACATCTCATAATGTAACAAAAACTATTACTAAACAAAAATCTATTAAAAACTTAAAAAATTCTAAAAAACAAATTAGAAAATTAGTTTTCTACAGAATAATAATAATCTCAGTCATTTGTGACTTCGTTGCGCGCTGGAAAATCCAACTGCGGTAATCTTATTGTTAACATCTACATGAGGAAAATCTACAAGAGTGTTTTTACTGACGCAGAAAAAGGGCAAGATTTACCGAGCGTGACCGTCATCAAAAACCTTAAAATGTGTCGACGATTGATCCTCTCTCGCGCACCGTCCGATAACGGTTTTCGATCAAACGGTGCGTGACTGTATGGATTACACATGGACAAAGTGTACGCACAAGACAGCGTATACGCACATATAACAGTAGCACGCGGGTCAGCTTGAGCCAGAAACCGGGCGCTCGTCCAAATCTACCAGTAGGTCAGTAGAGGGGCCATCGTACTCGGCCGAACGTCCGGGCGGCACGTGACCTTGACCGCGAAACACCCACCTGTTCACTTAACACCGCGTCGTCAATCAATTTCTATCTTGACGTTTGGAGGAAAATCGTGTCTTGGATGAAAAATAAAAACTTGTCAAGAATATCGTTCACTGTCAAGAATCAATCGATATTTCGTTGCACATCGACAATTGTGATTTTATACAGCGGCAACAATTTTATAGACATCGTCGAATGATAAAAGCTAGTAAATTGAGATATAAACGCGTCTTTGACATGAAAGTATAATTAGCAATAAATTATCTATTTTCGAAAGAAGCGATAAAAGTATTAAATTGAAAAGTATATAGACTGATTCTCACGATCTGAAAGGAACTTATTTCATTTTTTTTTCATGCGTCCTTAATGTGAAGTTCCAGAAAAAACCGGATAGCCGATATTACGCCCTTCCTTTAAGTCCGTAAAGTTGAAAAGACTATACAGATATGTCAATATATATCTTCGAGTAACGGTAAGCCACGTGAAAGTTATTTCGCGAATGGTTCTGGCGATCATTGAGATAGGTGTTGAACAAAATCGAGATAAACGTTTGACGACGATGTTAATTGAAGTTTATTCGGCACGAATCAATTTCTCGCGATGGTAAAAGCAATTTTATCAGCGGACTACCGAGATTAAATTAATTATAAAGATTACTCGCGATTGCGCGCTACTTGTGTCAAAGTGCTAAAAATTTCGCGGGTCTCGGTGCAATCGATTCGCGCGTACTTTGCCATTGTAAGATTGCTCCAAATAAATTGTGATTTATTCGCCGAGTTACTCCGATCGGCGAGTTGAAATTTTTCACCCGTAGGGATTGTGAAATATGTGATAGACTGGATATCCCATTTGGTAGTCGCTTCTGTGCCAATTACTTTCTTCGTCATATCCTGCAAAAATGTAATGAATATTAAAATGCAGAAATTATAGAAATTTATAACGTCTATTATACATTCCGAAGAGTGATTTTGTGTGCAAAGAAAATTAATATGTTTATTATACGATACATTAACATTGAATATTTTCGTAAAATGTTTCCAGAGTTATCAAAAAATTAAAACGTATATCACAACTGTATAAATGTGTGTCAATTATAAAACAGTCAAGTGACAAACACAGTAATAAAATATTTTCGTAAAATGTTTCCAGAGTTATCAAAAAATTAAAACGTATATCACAACTGTATAAATGTGTGTCAATTATAAAACAGTCAAGTGACAAACACAGTAATAACTTTCGTTGTTGATTTATTTTGTGAGAACTAATATGTTACATGTTTATATCAGAATTTATGACACGAAACGAAATCGATTTTAATCTGGCCTACATAATCTATCTATATCATGCTAATCGCGTTTATTCAATAAGGAACTTGCTTTTGTACATTGGCAAAGTTAAATAAATATAAGTTAAACATTAAATTATATTTTAAATACAATTTAAATTATATTTTAAATTTTAAGAATAATAAAATTATAACTTGAAAAAAATATATTTTTTTTGTATTCTTGTATTACTTATTTTTTATTTAAGATATTTTACAGTATACTAATTGAAAGTTTATTTTTTAATAACAAAAAAAAAGTAATTCTCTAAATTCGTCTTACCCGAAGGATAATCAGCTGGTGCTTCCGCTGCACTGGACCACAAGTGGAAAGGATGTGTGTTTTTATGCGCGTACGCGTGCGGTTGTTGTACTTTGCATATTTTTAAATGTGCCAGCACCGACGGCAAAATTAACGACCCAAGTACGAGAAGTTTTTTAATGAAGTGAACTCCTAGGAAAATCGGCAGTATCAATAGTTTCAGTTTGATCAGATTCAACAGTATGAGAATCGGAAGAATTATGGATTTCTTCTTCTTGAAAATTCGCCAATCGCCTGTAAATAAAATAATTAATTTGCTGATGTCTCAGAAACTATCAAACATTACAAATTGTTCAACTGTTTCAAATCTATTGTGAATATCGTTGCCGTTACAAAAACTGCGAGGTGAACGACTCTTATTACTTTGCTCTATTATTTTAGTTCATCGGTTTTTTTTTTCAAATAACGTATTGTACATATTTACGACACAAGCTATTTGTAATATCAGATACGTTAGAATGTTACGGTCTCGTTGCGTACAATAGTAAATACATATCTATATGTACGTCTTTTTCTGTGTCATTATTATAAAATAATCAGTACATCAAATAATCAATATTACATATCGCAATGAAGACTACGAAAGATTAAAAATGTAAACGTGCGTGCGTAGTGTATTTGTCAGTGTTATATGAATAACTAATCATATAAATAGACATTTTAATCAAGATGCGTATTTATTTCCTTGATAAAAATCGGTTTACCTTCTTCTTTTTTATCTTCAAGTTGTTCAAGTTCATCCTCATCCATAAGCATCAGACCTGGGGAAAAATCTCTTGCAGTTGCCGAGTTGTTTATTGTATATGCAATGGCACGTTTTGTCACTAAATCCTCTATACTATTCCTAATAAAGTCCAACGTTTCCGTTATGCCGTTTCTAAATGCTCGAGAATGTGGCAAAACGGGCAAAAATGACTGCTTGTGCATCGGTGGTATTTTTATTATTCGAAATGGTCCGTAATTAAATTCCTAAAGTATGACAATTTATATCATGTGATTACATTTTTATGATGTTTACAAGTAAAACTTTTTATATCAAATTTAAATAAATTGAACGACTTGTTGCATTAATTTCAAGTCTAAGTTTTTTCAATAAAGTTGCTATTTATCATACCGTATACATTAAATATTTACTTTTTCATTCACCAAGGTGTTCAACCATCTCACGATTTTGTACTTGCCGCAGGACGGAAAATCTTTTCGCAAATTGCATTCCATCTGACATTTTTGAACGAAATTCTCCGTGGCATTGTCGTAAAGCAACGAGTATGTTTGTTGCGAACAGACAATAAGCAGAAGAAACATCCAAAACGATGTTTGATGTTTCGTTTTTGAACATCGGATTTTGTAGGGCCACTTAATAACTTCGAACTTGCGGTACTTCATGATTTAAATCGACGATTTTGCACTCGCTAAATGTCAAATCTCTCAAATAGCCCGATTTATCTCATCGCAAACGGCGATGACGATCACCTGTTTCGCTCTCAGCTTTCGCATAGTCATCGTTATTAGTCGCGATAATTACATGAGCATTATGCGTGAGTCGTCAAGACGCAACGCGCAAATTGCCGCAATTAATGTAGATAATATATTACGGAGTGACGTAACAAAGGGAAGCACCGCGACGTGATGTTATCGCGCACTGTTATCACAGCATGAAGAAGACTCGCACGTTGCAGAAAAGCGAGATTAGGTGCAACAAGCTCACTGGCAGTGGTTAGAAGGTGTCCTGACCATTTATATGGCGTGCATTTAGGTCGGTGGGGGTAACGGTCCATGACTTAGATAATGCCGTGCAGAGATTGCCACTGCACTCTTCGCACGATGTAGCAGCGTCTCGGGGGAGACGATACGAGAACTCCGCCTATCATTGGCTGCAGAGCTCAGTGGGACTTTCATATAATGACAGTGAAACAGATTCACTTCAGAATTCATGACACGTTACACGCAAAAAAATTGAGGAAAAATGTATCTGTCGCACGATAGTTGTTAGACAGCATCAATTAAGTTTTTCGAAGTCCTCTTCTTTCTTTCTTTTAATCGATTTTTTAATTAATGTGTATTTTTTGTTATGTTTCTCACATTTACACACACACACACACACGCATTTCTGTATTAAAGATTAACAAAAAGAATTAATTTCAGAAATATTGAATTTTATTAATTTCTCTGTGTCTTTCTTTTGCAAAAACCAAAGAATAGTCTTCGGTTCAATCGATTTACTGGAAAACAAACAAGGATATTCACGGAAAAACAGGTAACGTTGTTTTTTATCAAACGGAAAAATAACATTAACGGTACTTCGTAGTTGCGCGACCAAAGTTGTCAAGCTAATAACAAAACAATCAAGATTTTTCACGAAGATTTCAAGCCCACTTGAACCAGCGGTGAACCGCACCATAATTACTGAACGCTGTATACACTCCGTTTTCAGTTTACAGAATTCCCAAGCGTAGTGTTTCTTTAATCGAACACGCAGAATGAGGACACGCGTCACGATGACCGTGATGACAATGTCCTTCCGTGTGCGTTTATTTGGCGTTTTGAAGTTTGAGAAAAGGTACGTTCCCATTCTGCCGTACGTAATTGCAGGTGAACATTTCTTGAAGCGCTATATTTTCTTGCTCACCCACCCGCAACGACCGCTCAATTTTTTATTAAAGATAATTATAGATCGCGTTATAATAATTCGGAAATTTGTCCTTTCACATAAAATTAGGCGTGTAATTTGAAGAGAAACCTTTCCACATTAGCGCAACTTCAAAATTAAATCCATATCATTCGCGACTTTGATATCAACAAAGGTCGACACGTTTATTGAAAATTATTGAACTGCAATATTTTTTATCTTAGGTAATCGAAAATTCAGAAATTATTGTAAAATATAAATAAAGACCTAAACTATATAAATAAAATATAAATAGATATAAATCATTTAAAAATTTTAGTTGTTCCGATATATTTTTGTTTTAAAAGTTGATTTAACGTTTTAATATTAGAAAATCAGAAGACCAATGTTGCATTGAATTTTCACTATCAGGAAAAGTTGATTCTAATTTATCCAAGAAACTAAAGAGAAGTACTTATCTAGAATACTTATATTTAGATCAAAAATGTTATATAATAACTGACAGCACGCATGAAGGAACAAATAAGATACAAATAAGTATAGCGATTGATCGACCCATTAACGCTATTACACAGTTTTTACGTGCATTTGAAGTGTTCGGGGTCTTTTACCCGCAACCGGTTTGTTGTACCTTTGTTGTGCGTCTTACTTTGGCTTCAAACATATCAAATTGTTTATTTACCATTCAAATGCAATTTTTGAAAACCATTTTCCTGAAGAAAGATCAATATCTGATCTTGTCGCGTTATACTTGACTTACTTTATAAAACACGATGTCACGAGCGAACGCATACATACGTACCGTTGTTTCAACAGTGTACGAAAAACAGGAAATACTCAACAACTTGAGATACACGAAGAAATCGCAAACCTATATGTAAACTAATTATCTAACATATTAGTTTCAAAACACTTCCTTTAAAATTTAAAAACATCGCACGAGATGACAATGTATTTGTTTGTTTTTTTTTCTATAGTTTTATAAAAATGAGTACAAATCGTTAATCCACAAAATCCAGGCAATACATTTTCACGGAACGTGTCATCCGGAAGACAACATCACCATCTTACTCCATTGGCCTGGAAATTCGCTCTGTCGCATTTGCATAGAGAACCATAATCGAAAAAGTGTTTTCCGCGAACCGATATGCGTCAACAAGATCGCAATAAACAGGAACGAGTAATGTGTCGTACGTGCTGCGAGAAACACACGTCAGGCACACTCTTAAGCGAGAGCTTTCACTCGCAGTTACGAGCGGACGCCCGTCGTGTTCGTTTGCTTGGGCCGCTCATTTCTGTTAAAAAATAAGGTACAATAAGACAAAAAATTAACAAAAACATCATTAAATTTTATAACAGAAGCAAACGAGATTTTTGTTGGTGAAAGGTCCGGCATACATTGTTGAAACGCACACTGGTCGCTCACAATATAATCCGCTTACTCCTTTGCCCGGCTGACCCAGTACGAGACACCGACAGGATATGAAATGGTCTCACCGATTCACCGATCTCGATATTGCCTTGTTACACATTTCCAGTCGGAAAGAAGATTCTTGAGAAAGAGAGCAAAAAACTGTCTGCTGGAAAGGACCGGTATCTACTTGCTGAGCTGTTATTAATTACAGAGCGGATTGATAAAGAATGCAATCAAATCGTGGAAAGTACAGTTACCTAACAATATTATCGGCATGATATTTCAACGATCTGGTTACGATCAAGACTGAATGAAAAACAATTGAATAAAAAGTAAAAATTAACCCTCTATGGGCCCATGTAACTTTCAAAAGTCACAAGCTAATATATCCACATTTTACCAAATAGTTTTAGTTCTTTTCACAAGATGATGTATACGTCTTAATTATATAATGCCTCCTGAAATAACCAATAACAATATTGATGACGGTTGGCAGCACCATCAACCTGAAATGTCAAAATAAAAAAAAAATAAAAAAATAAAAAAAAAATCTTAAATCTTTTTTTAATTAGCATATATAGGTTTATAATAATAGATTTTCCGTTGCATAAATTTTTTTTATATTTAAGAAAAAAATTCGGCCCATAGAGGGTTAAATAAAAACACAAAATTTTCTGTCAGTTTAAAGACCAATGTTACACAATGTGCAAAACAGTTTATTTTACATTGTATTAAAAGCTGGAACAAATCGGTAATGTCCTCGAACTGCAGGATACATCTCAGTTTCTTAGTCACGCTCACTTTGTTACGTTTACAGATATTGCGTGACGTGCAAACGACACCGTAAAGATTATATCCACATATATATTATATCTCTACAATAAAATATATTACGTATCTCAAAAACTTCTTAAAAACGATAAACAATAGTTTACAACCAAATCGTGTAATAAAGTGCGCGGATTATTAAAACTCGGAGTCGATTTTCTCGATGTTTATTGCCACTTTTGCCGACGCTGATTGATTTTTGGCTATTTGTGTTGCAATTTGATAGTTCGGAATTACGTGGTTATACTTGTTATGTCTCGTAGATAAGATAATTTTAAAAATGTGTGAAAAAATATGTATATATAATATCGAGGTGGTGTCGCGTCTGTTGTGTTTTAGTAAAGATGTAAAATTTGCAAGTAAAAGTACTATTTGTGGTAGAAAAATTTGATTTTTATTAAATAAAATTATTCTGCTTGCAATACGTTTAATTTTTTTAATCTGATTGCATTAATATAAGTTATATTTGAAATAAACACAACGCTTATATACGTATACAGAATTATGTTACTAAATTTACGTCTCATTCATCTATTCATGCGAAATGAAAACATGTCCGGCGGTACACGGTAGCTAATTTAGAGAAATGATTAGTAGCACGAAAGTGATGATATTCAGACTTTTTTAACTGTCATCATTAATATCGCAAGATTAAATCACAAATTATTGCGTGTAGCTACGGAAGATTTGTAGCTTTTTCTTTGATCTTCTTCTCATGATCGACAACATAATCTTACGTAAGTAGTAAAAGCCACAATAGTGCCATGAAACCACAAGAATGAATCAGAAAGTAAATTTTCAATTTTCATATTGTTACTGTTTCTAATCCATTATATATTTTTAGGTGATAAATTCAATTTTATAGTGGAATACTTTTGATCAATTTTCGATATCGACTAGAAAAAAAAAATTGAGATCAACTGTGTTTTATCATCTGGCAATGGCGTGATTGTTGAAACAGAAAATGTGCCACTGTCGAAGAAAATATTCTTTTAGGCGCGAGCAGATGAAATTGCAGCTGCCTAAAAACAAATCCGTAAAATGAGTCGTTGGAAATGCATCGTATCGGTATTCGTGGCATTCGCGACAAACAAAAAAAAGAACTAAAATCGCAACGGGATATTTTCCGCAGTTTAAAGAGAATAATTAATCGCAACATTTCTCGACAATGTCTTCGCAATAAAGTATCGTGGTTTCGCCTATACATGAATCGGTATTGTATAAGGTGACGCTTATCAATTTTATTCTATTTTAATTAGTTCATTATACTTATTATAGTTCAGTACACAGATAAACCTGTTTCGTTCCGCATGAAATTCTTTTCTCTAAAGATCAAAACTAGCGTCACACGTGCGAGTACGTATGTACATATCAAAAAATTTCATAATACATCGAGCAAGTGTGCGTACGTAATCATGTGAGCACGTTTCTATAGTCTTTCCCGTATTCTCATTCTGTCTTCGTACGTTTGTTTTCGGTCTCAGCTTCATGCTCGAACGCTTAACACGTAAGTAGGCTAGTGGTGCATCTCTGCTATTATCACTTCAGCATTAAACGTGACACGCAAGAGAAATAAACATTATAGTTGTTGTCTCTCAAGACAATTATTCCAAATGTCAGATAAACACCGCCTTGCAATTATCATTCAAACGGTCGCTGCATTAACGCGTCGTAAAACATCGCTTCCTTCTCTCCTTTTTGCAAGTATTTTTCATGGATGCATTTTATCGTAAAAAGACGTAAAAATAACTTTTGCCAAACGAAGAAAAAATTTCTATTTTTCAAATCTATGTATGATGTTAAATAATAGAAAATTGAGCTTGACAACTTTATGCGGCGTCGTCAATTCCGAGTGAATCATTTATTCCAACTTCATATACAAATTGACATAACTGTTCAGTTGTGTGTTTGCGAAACATGTCAACCTCTCTACATTTATGGTTTTCGTAAGACTTAAAGCACAAATAAAATATTAATGCACCATCGTTTTGCATTCTTGCGTTTCTATAGTGAAAAGATACGTGACATACTAACAGGCTGAATTAATTAAATCTAAGAAGCAGTAAAACCGTGTTTTGTCCTGAAGAAGTTAGCGGAATCCTCGTCTCGTCTCGAGAATGGGAGACACATCTATTAAGACGCTATTAGATGACACATTTCGATACACTCACTCCTCGCGGCTATTCCAATTAAAAGATTGATATAATAAATATTACATACATGTGGCAAATAAAAACCCCATTGACAAATTTATTAATTTAAAATCCTGGCAACAGTATTGACAGTTCAAACATATCTACGTAAATTCTATAAAAATAAAACTTTCGTTGGCATTTCGGCTGTTGAAATCACGATTCGATTGCGGTCACTGCGTTTAATTAGCGCTGATGGGATTATACGGGCGCAGCAATCTATCTCTCGCAAATCGATTCGTTGAAAAATAAAACGCCACTTATAGAATCACGAGCGACATACTTTTTTGGAAAAACAAAACTTGGTTATTTTTTAATTACGAAATAAAGTTGTAATAACAGTATTGTCGTCAAAAATCTAACCACACAACTCTGACACAACTTTAAATTATTAAAATGAAGTTCAGTCGCGTACATATGTAATAATTAGTTTAGAAAGTTCGGTCGCTGAAATGTGAGGCGTCAAAAAAATTTATGTCCACCAGGAAGTAATAATATCGCATAATTCAGGTCATTTCGACGATTGACATAGTAGCCTCGCTGACAAAGAAGAAAATCGCAATTATCATATCAATTATGTATTTGCATGATAATTGAAAATAATTCTATATAATCAGAAAAATTACTACTATTGTGCATTTAACACTTTCCACGTTGTAATCATTTCATCCTTTACATAAAGTTTCTTTTATTGTTCTTTGATGCGAACTATTGGTTTCTAGATCAGTGTCAGACACTTGCGTGCATAATATTTAATTTTCTACAGAGTAATAAGAACACTTTCCCGATATTCTTTGACGTGAGAAAAAAAAAAGATAAATGTTTATATCAACATTACATATTCGCACGGCAGTAAATGTTTTTTAACATTTTGTCTAATGTTAATAGTTGAAAAACAAATGTGCATATATGGAAAAAGAAGATATAAAAAAATGAAAGTATAAGAGGTATAAGTTTTTCTTTTTCTGATATAAAGAAAATTACGGAAATAAGATTCAAGAAAAATAAAATGAAAATTTATTACCGCATTTATGATCCTCATTATGACAATTGTGCGTACTACTTAAATATTAAATATTACTACTTAAATATGTATTAACCTAATTAGTAATTATTTATGTTATCAACAGCCGACTTTATTACCTAAGAGAAAGTAACGATAATGATATTACAACAGAATGAGTATGAGTTCATACATTCAGGAAAAAAAATGCAATGCTAACACTATCAAGAAACATCTGTTGCTTTTTTAGCACAGTCGCGATTATAGTAGGCAAAGTCACTTAGCGATATTATCACTTCGAAAGTGATAGTTTCTTGCTCCAGAAAGTTTCTTTAAACAAGAGAATTGGAAATATATTACTTTTAAAACTCTTTAGAGCTAGTTAATGTTTTATACAAAACATACAAATATAAAATAAAAATATAATATTGCGTAAATATATATATATGAAGATTTAATTGTGTAAAATTTTACATGAATGTTTTTTATTCATAAAACGTAATGTCTTTTAACTCGTTATTTATTGTTTTGTTAAATAAATCAGCATAAAATTTGTCATATTGTTACACATATTTGTAATATAATTAATTTTTCATTATTCGCGAGAAACAGTAAGATTTTTTTTTTTGTATATTTATCACCATCTCGTGGTAAAACCAGCAAATATATGTGTACGTGGGCGGTTTGTGCGCGCGCACCAATCTTATCGATGAGAGGCAAAGCCCGTGGTAGAGGCAAAGCCCGCTGACGTAGCTGAATCGAAGAAGAGGAGTGAAGGGAAAAGACCGGCATCCACAGCACGTTGAAGCGGAGCAGAGAGAGAGGAGTATCAGTGGCTGGACTCTGGAGCGGGTCAGTCGACCGGTTGCCGAGCAAACAGCCTGTTTTGCGCAGAACGGCACGCATGCCGTCTCTCTGGAAGCTGCCAGTAGGTGTGTGCAGGTGCGACGAAAAGGTGACGGACTCGTCGCGAAGGTGAAGTGGGGAGAAGGTAAACACACATATCGAGACGGAGAAAAGAGGTGGAAATCTCAGGTGAGTTCGGTCGCCAAGAAGCCACGAAGAGATGCCGGAAGAAAAGCAAGTAGCGGCGCAAGCCAATGCGCCAGACATCGATAAACCGTACTGGGATCAGAGCACCTATCGAGGAAGGGCGTTGCACTTTTTAACAGTGACAAACCCGCTCAATGTCTTTGCCACGAATAAGCAGCTCGAGCACGCGCGCGATGTCGTCACGAAGTACAGGTAGCCGATATTATTTCTTTCTCTGAATGTACTGACATTACACTAGTATCGTGTACATGTCATATTACATATATTGTGTTTATGTGTACATGTAATAAATTTCTTGTCTGCTGCGTGTATGTGACTTACTATTGCTAGTTAGCTATCAAAGAGAAAAGAGATAACTTTGTTTATCGAATTTGGTAAAATTCTACTTTTTTTCTTTTAAATTATTTTTTATAATTAAATTTAAAATTTTTTAAGTTAAAATGAAGTTGCAGATTTTTTTATATTTTTTATGTGAACACTTCGAAAAAAGTAAATTTAACAGTAAATTTTGGATCTTGCAGACAGGGCGAAGACCTGAAAAAACAAGGAATCAGCGAAGATGAATTATGGAAATGCAAATATCTTTACGATAGCGCCTATCATCCAGACACCGGTGAAAAAATGCTGTTGATAGGTCGTATGAGTGCTCAAGTGCCGATGAACATGATGATAACCGGCTGCATGATGACGTTCTACAAGTACGTAATCAGAGTCGTTTTTTTTTTTTTTTTTTACTTGACATATGTAAAACAGACATTATCGCTCCTACTAGAAACCTCGACCTCAAAGACTGTTTATGTCGAGACGAACTGTTCACATGTTTTATAGATCAACGCCAGCTGTGATATTCTGGCAGTGGATCAATCAGTCGTTCAACGCCATAGTGAATTACACGAATCGAAGTGGCTCGAGTCCGATTCCAACGGAGACGTTAGCGCAGAGTTACGTCGGCGCCACGGGAGGCGCCGTAGTGACGGCGTTGACCCTGAATCGTCTCGCTCAGCGCGCACCACCATTGGCAGGCCGGCTGGTGCCATTGGCAGCGGTCGCAGCAGCTAATTGTGTCAACATCCCTCTCATGAGGGTCACTGAACTCCAAAATGGTATCGAATTACAAACCGAGAACGGTACGAAGGTAGGCCACAGCAAACGAGCAGCGAAACAGGCAATCATGAGTGTGACGTTATCGCGTATACTTATGGCTTCTCCGAGCATGGGTAAATTTGTTGTATTTATCTTATAACTAATTGAAAGAGAAATATATATAAATATATTATTGAAAATTTAAAGGTAAAAAAATGATTTAAAAAAACATTTGTTAATTAAATTTTTTTTTATGCAGTATTGGCACCGATAGTAATGAATTATCTGGATCGAAAGAAGCTATTGCGTAATGCGAAATGGGCTGCCGGACCGATTCAAGTGCTGATCTGTGGAGTGTGTCTCACTTTCGCGACACCGCTCTGTTGCGCTCTTTTTGCGCAAAGCGTGCCGATCTCAGTAAATCAATTAGAAGCGGATGTGCAGAAAGAAATACGTGCGCACGATCCCAGTCTGGAGACTGTGTATTACAACAAAGGCCTTTGAAAACTGGGGCTGGATCCCCGCACGAAATTCGAATATTTTTACCGATCCACGAACTTGATCTATTCTTAAACTCAGGTATTATACAATATTCCCGAGCACAGTATTCGAAAGCACAAATGTGCCATTAGTGTATCCGATGACTCCTACAGTTATATAGACGATTTGCTGTTGTTGTTTGTTAGATATAAAATTCGTAAACAATCGATGTCAGATGCAATCGTAAAACGCTAACTTATGATAAAGAAACGATTCTCTTTATTGTACACGTCCAACAGATACATATACATATCTCTTCTTTTACTTTGGTCAATACATATATATCGTGAATTTCTTGCGCAAAATGCAGATTATGAAGTGAGAAAGAGTAACGAAGACAATAAAATCTACATTTACATGTTCTGAGTGAATGTTTTTATTCTTAATACATTTATGATTCTGTTATTGAAGTAGTTTAATTATATTCGCTATTCAAGACAAGAATTTCTGGTTTTGGGCGGAAATAACCGGTGATCGTTTTCACTGGCGGAGGAGGTCTAATCTTACGACCGAATCTTCCGGTTTTACGATGCCACAGACCGCTTCTCGGTCGATTTCCCAATTCCCGATTTTTCTGCGCGCTGCCAATCGGTGTGGAACCATGTTCGACGTTCGATAATCGACCGACTGTAGCCATACACGTCTCATGAAAGCTGAATTGATGTTTGCTCGGCATTTGTACAATCACGCGATCCATTTCTCGTTTTATAATGGTGCCGACAGTGCCCGCGGCATGGATGTAGAATCCACCTGTTCCCGGATTTTTTTCCACACCATGAACCCGAGTTCCATTAGGTAAGGCACCGAGAGGATAGGCATCTCCCTCATTAGGTCTCACATGATTACGTGGTATTCCACAATGAGTGCGTATTATGTCGCCTGGTTTCATGTTCTCCGTGGCTAAAATATATTTAAGCTCGCGGCCTGAACCGATTAATGCGACGAAACTTGTTCTACAACCATCCTTGAAGACTTTTAAGACCCTCTCTTCCTTTGGTGGCTCGTTAACATCTTTGGGTCCATCACGGATCCATTTGATCCAATGATACTTGTGCTTTATACCACCTCCGATACAACCAACTACTACCCTACCTGTTATAGAAATAAATAATAACTTTAAAATATTAAAAACATTCTGCAAAAAATCTAAATCTCTTCTTTTGAGTGTCTAGTAATTTATCCTGTAATTTATTCAACAAAAAAAAGACAATTCTACATAATTTATTTTAAACAATTTTTGGAAAATGATTCAAAAACTATTTTGATCGCCACAGATTGATATTTTGGATCAGGATTAAGGTTGTATTCAGGGTAAGATCTCAGTCAAAAGTTTCAGAAACATAGCGTAAACCGAACCTATTTTAATATTTAGATAATTGTTTGCTGGAAAAGTATTATTTGTACTAAAATAAGTTACAAAAACTATTTATTATACTTTTAATAACTACGGAAAAGTTTTTGCGTATATTTTGTGTTATTTTGATAATAAGAAAGATAGGCAAGATCGCAAAACGAGCAAAGAAAGTAGGTGGTGTATTAGATAAGTATATTAAACATTAAACAATATAATAGGCGAAACGTTTCAACTTACAATGAAGTCTTCTTTAGTCGCAATAATATAAATAATAATAATATTAAATAAAAATAAAAATAAAACTAAAAGTACAAAGAATGGACAAACGCAGTTACATTTTAACATAAAGATCTTATGCAAAGTAATAGTGATCAAGGTCATCCAGTACTTGATTGCCGCCAGGTTGTTCACTTTTGATATTTTTAAGAGTAAGATTACACCTTACGTGCAACGTAAGATAAATGAAAAACTGGAAATGTATTAATCATAAAAGGTTATTAAAACGTAACAATTGATGTATAAAATTACAAATATAATTGTTTTATGTATATTAAATATATATTTTTATTAATTTTAGCAAAATATAAATTTATATTTTATGTGATATTCTCGAAATGACTATTTTTTCAAGTGGAATTTGTTTTTAAGATATTTATTAACAACTGCAAAAAGTTTCAAAATTATGGCATATCTACATCTACAGTTATTTTGTAATTTATATCAGAATATCGTGAGAAATCCCATAAGAACTCGTGTTAAATTAAAATCGTACTAACTTTTTAACAAGGCTCGCAAAGAAGGTGAAATTTTGCACAATTTCTTTTTTTAATATTATCTACTGACTGGCAAATTTCGAATAATCTGGCATATCTTTTATCTTACCTTGAATACAACCTTAATAGCGATTTCGGTTGATCTGCACCGACTGCATATTTCGAGTGTCGGTGTAACTTGTGTTTTCGGCTGGTCGAATGGTGCAGTTCCTTGCTCGTGCCGCGTATTCGTCTGAGCTCAGTACATTGTATAGATGCATGTTGGATGTACACAAAGTGACTCTCACAAATTAGTTGGAGCCAGTTGGTGTGGTCTCGTGTTCGGCTGATATACACTACCGTGGTCGAAATATCCAGTGCAACATCACATGAGTGTACGCACTTGCACCAACTCTACACAGGTAGCACATCGGTGCAGACCAGCCGAAATCGCTATAAGTTTCCTAAATTATAAGTTAACTTAAGCTGATATGTAAAGTATCTGTTTTATCGTCAAGTAGTTCAATCTAAAGATTTTTTTATACACTGTAATGTTCAGCAACGGAAAATTCTTCCTTGTGCGCATGCGTACATTGTCACAGCTGATCAGTAATCATACATTCTTTATGAATCATTTATTACAGCATCAAGCTGCTAATAAATAATTCATAGCGTAAAGAAGCCTTTATAGTACAATCTGCAAAAAATCTAAGTTCTCTACAATAATAACATTATACCACGTACCTGTAGCAGGATCTCTGCCTCCTAAGTTTGTAACATTCAATGGTTGTACTGTGTACTCATCCTTGAAATGAACAATTCTTCGAAAAGATTTACCATTGCCAGTTGGAGGTAATTTCACAAACTTAAATCTATATCTTTTTGGTATTTGAGATAGCACTGAAGTTGTTAAATTAATGAAATTGCTTATTTGTTGACCGAGAACACGACGTGTCAATGCCGCGGCAGACATCTTGACCAAAACACCATCAGTTGCAAGCAGTTTCGCGAATTGCCGCTACTTGCGCTAGTATCTTGCTGAGAAACTATACTAACTATACATGAACTGTTAGTAGATATTCCTACTTTTCTTATTTTCACAATGTTTTGCCGATATGTTGGCTACTTATATATAATAAAACTGTTTATTTTTTAAAACAAAAATCTGAGGAAGCCATTACCAATTTTTTGTTCACGTTGTTGCAATGGTGTTTTTTACTAAAATTATATCGAGACGTTCTATTGCGGGAAAGTGAGCATATTTCATTGCGTGACACTGTTACTTTGTGTGAAGAAAACTTTTATTTTGTACTTGTCTCACTTTTATGTTTTATTTTACTGTCACTTAAGCAGGCAAACGCGGAGACGTTTTTAATCTCTATTACACCATACAAAATACCTAGTAGTTATAGTTATAGTCAAAGTGAGAAACGTTCAAAACATTTTATTATCTACCGACATTTTAGATTGTGACATAGAAAAAATCATAATTTATAGTTAAATTTTCTCTTTACCGATAAAAAGTAAGATAGATCACTGTTTTAAGAAAATCAAGCACAGTCTTTACGATTAGTCAAAAGAGTTCACTGTTAGTTTGAAGTTCACATGTGTGGCACATTTATGATATGTATATATACGTAATATATTTTTTAACCATTTTTCTTAAACTATATTGTTTAGAAAAACTTACTTAATTAGTATTATTTAATATTTTTACATATCCATTTCAATTAGTTTTCATATGTAATAAATCTGTAAACTTTATAGATATTTTAAACCTTCTTTTTGTTGACAAAATATAATCTCTTTTTTTTGCATTAACTTGTAACAAATTACTTGAGTAATTTTTGTAATCGCAAAACGCGTGAATAAAATCACACTTAGCGCATCTTCCGAATTATCGTCTCACGTTAAACTTTGTAAAGCCACGCAATTAAGAACATATCTCATTGCGGCGCTCGCTATAATGAGGCTGAAGTTTAGTCGTGGCGCGTAAACGCGACGCGCCAATTAAGTGACGTTCCTTAAGATTTCGGCGCGTAAATCCCGCAAAGTGATAAAACGGATAAACGCTCGAATAACGTGGCGGCGTTATCCCGCCGAAGACTCGTCGCCGCACCGCCTGTGGAAAAGCACGCGCGACTACGTGCGCACCACGTCCCGCATAGAAGAGTGGGCGAACAGTGTAGAGGGGAACGCTTAATTGGCCCGGGGTAATTATTTTATTAAGTGAGAAGATGGCGGATGAAATGCTAAGAGAGAGCACGCTGGTGTGGTCTGCCGACCGAGAGGAGAGGGCGCCGACGGAAACGGCACGGTGGGAACAGAAGGGGAAAAAGGGGGGTGAAAGTGAGGGGGCGGATGGCGCGGCAGGTGACTATGTAGAGAGCGTTTAAATACCTATGTATCCACGGACGACTGTACTTCGTGTAGCGGCAGTTTTACGTGTAGGTGAATGCGGCCGCAACTTTTGACCGTGTATATGTGACGTGTCTCTCACGTGCACGCGCAATTCTCACCGTCACGCACGTTCCTCCGCTTGCCTCTGCGTTCCCTCCCCGTTTGTGTCTTGTCGCGAGAGAGAAAGGGCGGGGGTGAAAAAGGAAAGGAGCCGCGAGATAAAGGAGGATGGTATACGCTTTTGCGCGCGCGTTCAGCGTCTCCGCGTTGGTAGTGAAGAAGGAACATCTATTACCGGTACATAGGCCGAAGGACGAGACGAAGGAGGTGGAGGTTGGAGTCGTTGAGGGAGGGGTGCGGGCAAGAGTAGTCGAGCGGCAAATTGTCCGCCATCTTACCCACCTTATACCTTATCTCTCACCCTCGCTCGTAACCACCCTTATCCACCCCTTCTTCCGCCACGCTTTCCTCCAACCAGACCCTCTCACCCTACACGCCACCCACCCCCGTCTTGCTTTCCGCCTGGCCCACCTCTTCATCGTCCTCCTCGTCTTTTCCCTCCTTGCCACCCCCGCTCGTTCGCCCTTTCTCTCGACGGCGCCCCCGCCGTGCTACCGCCTCGAAAGCTTTAGATTACCTACCCCTTATAAGCGCTCGTGTTGCCCATTTATTACCACGACTCCCGCGACTACCACGACCGAAAGACCAACCGCCTTCTCTCACTTCCATCCCGCGCTTCCTTTTCATCCTTCGTTTTCCATCGTTTCATCCCTCCTTTCTGTCTTCTACCACCTTCGACGTCGCGCACCGTACACCTTCGTTTCTTCGTTCTGTTCTCGAGCATTGCCGCGATCCTTATTAACGCTTTAACGCTACCATTACATAACTACGCGTGCCCGCTTCGCTTCCCGACTCGAGAGGCTCGAATAACACGATTAGTCGAGTTCACAGAGAATTACTCGTACTAGAAACTATATCTCTATTTGTCTCTCTATCTATCTATCTCTCTCATTCTCCTTCTCCGTCTGCGATACGCGATCAACTGTGTTCTATATCCGTCTAGATTTAACGGCAATCGAACAATTCAGGGAAATGAGCGATAATTAGCAATAATGAATATTTCGCACGCGCTTATTATCTGCTACATTATCATGCGACTGTCATAATAATTAATACGCCAATTTCTATATTTATATTTCGTTTTCGCTATTTCTCGTAAATGACGGCGTGTTTTTTTTTCTCATTTTAATTGTTATTCTAATCATCAAAATTATAACATATTTTATATTATCTTGTTCTTTTTTTTCTTTATCGACACCTAATGCTCCAACATTTTTCTGTTTTTTTCCTCTTATTTTCCAACATTACCGCGCGGATCTTTATTATTCTACGGATTATACGTGGTACATTTACATCTATTTGAAACGTAATACGGCTCACTCTCTCTGCTCTTGAAGCTCGAATAATATTAATCGAGTTTGCGGAGAATTACGAGTAGCGATTGTTCGAGATTTATTACTACTTTCCATTTGGCCGAAATTAAAAAATGTAATTTTCAAAAATACAGAAACGTGCTTTGTACATGCTCAAAAAGAATTTCGTACATTACACTATGCTAAAAACTATGTGTGATGTCCGAAAATCTTCAAATTTCTGCTCTCTCGCCGTTTTCTTTTTTATATCTCATCAGCGATTATTTCTGCTTTTGTTTCTCAAATACGTACACCGACATTTCCTTTGTTCCATATCTCTATTCTCGAACACCTCACGGATCCTTATTACCCTTAACACTACCGTTACCTATCTCTACGCACGCGGTTTACGACGAGAAGCTCGAATAACACGATTACGCGAGTTTACGGTGAATTACGTGTGCTAGAGAGACGCGTCTATTCCGAGCGTACCGCGCTTTCTATCCGTTTAAGGTTTTCAGAATGATATCGAGAGCTCTTCTTTGAGGTGGAAACCAACACAAAGTGTGATATTACGCTTCAAAAGATACACGTAATGCGACACTTTCTCTCGATGATGCTAATTTTTTTTTTCTGAAAATTGCGGTTGTCATTTTAGTTTTATATTTAGTTTTATTTTTTTAGTTTTAAATTTACTTGATCTCGAGTTTTATATCTTCAGCATAAAAATCGTATACGACGTAAACAGATGAAATGAAAATTAAACGGCTACATTTAACGCTAAATATGCGTTGAAAATTCAAATGCGTTGTGTATTCCCGGCAAAAACATGCGTATTTATTTTTCAACCGTAGGATAATTAACTTCTACTACACGCCTGCATTAAGAGAAGTCACGTCATTGTTCGCGTCGTCGTGAACTACGTATTCGCACTTTTTTTTTCACAAAAAATGCCACACATTATAATTTTAAATTAAAATGTTAAACTCTGTACATATCTTCTACAAGATTACGACAATTAAATTGAAAAATAAAATGTTTTGTAATTATAATTGCTACAAGGAAATTAACTTCTAAAGCAAACACTGAAAGTTAATGCTAAGAGTGAAATTCTTCGAAATTACGCTGCTATGTAATACGGCAATTACCGCGAAAATTGCGAAAATTGAATAAACGCACATATGTAACTCGAGAACGCCTTTGTATATGCGCTACTCAGACTGCCTTACATTAGTGTCACACGAATTACCTTATATTGATCGCAAGCAGTAGTATTTAATGCGTACGGCTCGGCAATTTTCCACGCGGGATTTTCGCTCGCTGAAAAATAACCCCGATATTAGACACGCGAGGAAAGTTCGAGGAGGCGAGAAAAAGCCCGAAGGAAAAAAAGCCGAGAATGGCGGTCTCGGTCGATGAAACGTTTCCGCAGGGACGAGTTGGAATGAACCGCGCGCGGAAAGCCGTAGCGGGGAGGGAGAGAAGAGCAATGAGGGATGGAGGGAGCGAGAACGAGCGGAAAAAAAGAGCTCGTGCTCAACCACGAGAAAGATAAAGAAGATACCTAGCGGAGAATGGTACAAAAAAGACAGAGCGAGCCGAAAAGTGTGATGCGGGGGATGGCATTTCGCATTGTAAAGTTTTCCGGGCGACCGCAAGGGTGGGAGAGAACGGTGGAGAATGACAGGAAGGACGACATGGATGCGCGACGAAAGACGAAAGGGAAGCAGAGCGAGAGAGGAAAGCGGTCTCGGTTGACGGGCGGTTGCTTCGGCCCTGTTCTCGTTCGTTTCCTCTGAACTCGTCGGCCAGCGGCAGCAGAGAGAGATCTATGTATGGAGAACGGAGGTGCGAGAGAGTACGGAGTCGCAGGATGACGCGAGAGAGCGAGAGAGATCCCGTGTGATGTGAAGAGAGATACAGAAGAGAACTGCAAAGCATTACGCAGGATGGTACAACTGCGGGGATGCTGGACAAGAGGAACAGAGAGCAAAAGAGGAAAGAGAAAGATAGAGGGAGAAGAAGAGAGAAAGATAGAAAGAAAGAGAGAGAGAGAGAGAGAAAGAACGGAGACACAACCACGCCGGTAGGATGACGAGGCTGTTACGAAGAGGTGAGGAGTCAGGAGGATACGACCGAAGGAGGGTGCAAATAATAACAATAATCATATTTCCCGGCAACATGGCCGCTGAAAGAGGG